TATTATTATTATTATTATTATTACTACTATAATTATTATTATTGTTATTACAGTTGTTTATTGATGGTGTTGTTATGACGTCATCATCATCTTCATCAGTAGCATCATCACCATCATCATCACCACCACGTGTAGTTTCCTTCCTTATTTATTGCCGATGTTTCTGAGGAAAAATTAATCTTTCAATCACGAGTTTGTCACTAGGCCATCAAATATTAACGCCATCGTCATCGTCGTCGTTACCCTTTTCATGACCCTTACCACCATCCTTGTGGTGTGTTTCTACCCCATGCTGGAGGTAGAAACACACGGTATATAGGCTAATATATGCTGGACATCCCTCAAGAAGAAGCGAGTCGACGTCAAACGTGTTATCCTGGCCGGGCACACCTAAGCACCCCCCAACCAACCACCATCATGGTCATCTTTATCGCTTTTTTCATAGACATCATTAGCCCCCCATTCTCATCAACGCTATCGTCATCATCGTCGTCGTTTTCACCATCGTTTTTATAGTCATACAACAAAGAAACACACACACCACACAAACACACACACACATACACACAAACATACACACACACATACGTAGAGACATCTGCGTAAATCAACAAACAAATTCGCACGCAAAATCTCGTTGCACAAACATGAACCCAACCATTCAAAAACAACAAACAACCTTATAAAGTTTTTTCAGTTTTTCCAAACAATACAAAAGCATGCTTGTCACACAACAAACACACGCACGCACACATGTAAACTTATTCACACACACCCACACACACACACACACACACACACAGACGCACATAATAAAACACGCAAACAGTACTTTACATTCCCCCTTAAGAGAACTCGGCACGGGCTTTCGAGACGAAACTGTCATCTACAAAACTACAACAACAAAGTTAACAACAACCTAACATTAACATCGAAGACATCAATAACAATAAGATGCCACATCAATAACAATAACGATGCCAACGGCAGTAGCAGCAACAAACACAACAACAAACACAACAATAAACACAACAACAAACACAACAACAAACACAGTAACAAACACTAAATCATTCGCCACAACGACTCAATCAAGCAACAATTTAACAACAACAACAGCAACAACAAAAACAACAACAGCAGCAGCAGTAACAGTAACGATGACGTCATTATTGTCGCTGTATGGAATGTATGACGAGTGGAACGATCGAATGGGAGGCGATGATTTGAATGTAAAACAGCTGTGCTCGCTGGATTCGCTAACTTAAATCTACAACCCTTTATCCTCGGCTACTGCTGCTTTCGGAAACTTGAGAATGAAAAAATAATTTTATGATAGGAAGAAGTAAGAATTAGCGACGAGTGAGATGGATTTTTTAGAAATTAAATGGAATTTTTCAAAATCTGGTCTCGACTTAGGAAAAATAATTTGGCGTGAAGATAATTTTGATGTTGCCATTAAATGATTGACCGGCTGATTAGTTGATCATAAAAATCAACCAGAAAACTACAACAACAAAACAACAAAAGCAGCAGCAGTAACAACAACAACAACAACAACCGCAACAAGATGAATACTATAAAACTATTAGCGCCCGTAATTAAAGAGAATGATTGATTCTCATTTTACCGCATAATTGTTGAATGCTTGCTCGATCGAAAGAACGAATAAACATATACGAACGAATTAATTTTAAAAAATGAATAAAATGATTGATTGGATGAGCAAAATGATTGACTGAATGAATGAATTTATTTATTAAATGAATGAAGACGTTTTTGTATCGTTAAAGTAGGCGCATTATTTAGAATAGTTTCTTGTATTGTCCAGTGAAACGTGTCAATAAAATGATAGTCCTTCCTGAAACCTTTTGTCTTGCGCTACTAACTACCTACTTAAAAATATAAAATAGTACAAATGTTTGTGTGGGTGTGTGTGCGTGTGTTCGCTCGTACGTACGTGTGATTTTACGTGTGTGATAAGTATGTGTGCGTGCTAGTGTATGGTTGTGTGCGTGCGTGCGTGCGTGTGTGTGGTTGTGTGTGCGTGTGTGGTTGTGTGTGTGGTGTGTTAGAAATTATTACATTTATTACTTTCATAACACGATCGCTAACGGTTGTAGATTTGTCTTCCCATAAATATTGGGTCGGGAGTAAAAATATAAACGCGCCCCATCTCTCAGTTATAATTTACTTGGGGTCATTGATCCAATCTACATGAATATTCATTAGATTATTTGTAATTTAACTTATTAATATTTATTATCATTATTATTAAATCACGATTATTATTATATTAATTAATTAGTTAATATTTGGCAACTAATTCGTTTGATTTTATTGACCAATAAAACGCATATTTATTTCGCAGTAACAATTTTATTCATTTCATCATCATTACGGTATACAGTTCGCAATAAATAAATAAATAAATAAATATTAACATATTAACAAATAAATCGTGGATGTAGTCGTAATTTGATAGTAATAGTAATATAAAGTAGTAGTAATAGTAGTAGTAGTAGTGGTAGTAGCAGTAGTAGTAGTAGCAGTAGTAGTAGTAGCAGTAGCAGCAGTAGTAATAGTAGTAGTGGTAGTAGCAGTAGTAGTAGCAGCAGTAGTAGTGTCATTTGTAGTAGCAGTGGTAGAAAGTAGTAATACTAGCATTAGTAGTAGTAGTAGGGTTAGCAATATAATAGCAATAGTAGTAGTAGTAGGGTTAGCAATATAATAGCAATAGTAGTAGTAGTAGTAGTAATAGTAGTAGTAATACTAATAGCCAATTTAACTAAAGTAAAAAAACTTAACATAAAAAAAATGTGCGTAAATGATAAACAGAAGCGATATAAAATATAGCTCAACAGTCATCATCATTATTATTATCATTATCAAGACGTCATTATCATATTATATATTCATCACCATCATTTTCATTTGATCATTTTCATAACCCTACCATCATCACCATCACCAAAATCACCATCACCCTCACCAACATCATCATCACCAGCACCACTACAAAAATCATCATCATCACCACCAACATCATCATCAACATCATCATCTTGAACAACGTTATCATCATCGTCATCATTATCAGTGTCGAGAAATTCTCTACGTCACAAAAACACCACAGGCGATGATGACGTCAAATTAAATGGTGGTACGCAACGGAGGGACAATAACAAGGAGGACTAGTAGGTGGTGCAGTTAATAATCACTTATCATCCACAATTCTCCCCTCGTTTGTACATTCACATAATTTAATTATCATCTAATAATAATAATAAATAATAATAATGATAATAATAAAAATAATATATATATATATATATATATATATATATTCATGTCTGTGTGTGTGTTTGTTTGTGTGTACGTGTTCATCGGCAGACGAAGAGTAAGAGCGAACGAATGTCTCATAGTTTCAGTAGAGACGATGAAAATAATATTATTATCATGAACATTATTATTATTATTATTATTAAATACTAATAGTATTAACAAAGACGGAATATCGTTACAACTTATAATCAAAATGAGAGCTATAGAATACAAATTCATCGTCAGTCACTAAAAAATCATTCATTTTCAGACGCCTAACCGGTCAATCGGTCAAACAAACAACTATCCAGTCAGCCAAAGAGGCAACCAACTAAACAACCCATCGGCCAATCAATCAATCGATCGATCAATCGATCGATCGATCAATCAATCAATCAATCAATAAGCCAATCAATCAAACTACAGTCAATCAATCTATCAATCAATCAATCTATCAATCAATCAAACTACAGACAAACTTCTACTAAAATAATTACGCATATACATATATAGCCAAATCAACTACCCCATTTTCACTAATGTTATATACAAATACTATATTATGTGCGTAGTATGTATTTTGTTTATGTGTTTGTATGTGGTGCGTGCGTGTGTGTGTGTGTGGCATCAGTTACAAATGAATTATCGTCATATAAGACTATTCATATTTCACATTTTTTATAAGGTAATCCATAATTGATGAGAATTATTGGTGAAAATATAATAAAAATAGATTTAAATAAAAATCAATTGATAAAATAATTACGTTTCAACATACTGCATAACTTGTATAACTTTACGCAATTTTAAAGCACTAATGTAAAAACAGTTTCTAATTTTAATTTAATCAAAAAAATATTTTTTCCTCAATTTCAACTAATATTATCATAATCGCAATAAAAATGCCCAACGGGCAATATTATCGTTATTATTAATGACCTAATTAATTCCTAATGACTTAATTAATTTATTACTGACCAAGTTGACTAATCAATACATTTATAAGTTGACAAATCAATACGTGTATGTATGTATGTATGTGTATATAATTCACATAAAATAATATGATCCATCTAATGTAATTTTAATTACAAAACATCAGTCAGTATCAAGATAAGATTAGATGAATGCATATATCTATTGCACAACAGTACAACCCACAATCCATATATATAATAATAAAAATAATAACAAAAAGCAGGATAGGCAGAATTACGATGACGTCATTCAACCTCGATAAACGTTTGACCAGCGAATTTTTAGCCAAATGCATATATATGACGATTCTAAAAATTTCAATGGAATCACTAGTATCAAATAAAATTTCCGAGTGGCTACCTGCGAGAGATTTTATGAGGTTTTTGGTATCAGTTGGTAGGTCCTATTGGTGGTATTCAAATGAAAATAATAATAATAAAATTATTATAGTGAAAAATATTATTATAACACGTTACAAATTACGTTGTTCTATTATTTATTTATAATAATATTGTGAGGGAAACTCATCACTACAGCTTTATTTTGTCAGGTAAACATATAAATTATTATCCAAACTCATTTAAATTACATCCAATCCCAACAACAACCATAATAATAATAATAATAACAACAACAACATAATAGCAATCATAATAATAGTTTTTGAACAAAATGATGAAAAATGCCTAGCTCAGTAATTTCATAAAAAGCCCAAATGTTAAACAAGTACTGTAATGATGAGAAATAGGATGTATGGGCGTAAATAATAACTGGACAATAATAAAGAATTTCAAAAAATAATGAAAAATAATAACAAATAATAATAAAAAAACATAGAATTAATAGTCTTCTATCTCCATGCCGCAAATCTTCTGTCTTTTGTTGTTACTCGGACTATCTAAGCGGTCGTTGGGTCGTTTCCTCGACGACGTATCGACCAATAAGAAGTCTTCGCATAACGAGCGTGACGGTGAACGACGCGAATTACCTGTGAATAAATTATAATCAATTAATTAGTAATGTGTGGGCCAGAAAATGGCTCAATATGTCTCTGCTAATAGAGAAACTGAGTGATATAGTTAAAATAATACAATAAGTACCTTGATTCTGAATACCGAGTGCGTCTCGGAATAGCTGCAAATCGACGACACCATCTCTATTACAGTCACCATTTGATGCCAAGTAGCGAGGTAGAGATTCGATTCTGTTCATTCTGGACCCCCCGTTTATTCGATGGTGCCTGACTGGGGCTGGCTTGCCGCAGAGAAATGCTATTAGTTCATCTCTCTGTATGTTTCGCCGTCGTTTTTTGGCCCAGGACAGTATCTCTTTCGTTCTCCTTAACTGGCCGAGCTGTTGACCGAGTTCAAAGTTCTTTTTAACTGCTTCAAGGCCATCTTGTATAGAGAAATAAAAAAATTTTATGACATAAGATTAATATTATCGTGATATACGTAAGGATTATGATTAAATAAGTTATTTATTAATTTAAGAAGTTTGAAAAACTCAACATGTATAAGTTTATTGAACTTATTGTAAGTGCTAGCACATTTCAGCCTTAAGATTTCATTGAAAATTTATTACCACAACATTAATTATGTTAACATATAAAGTATTATCAATACTCCTACTTGGATGACATTCCAAAATTTAAATATTTTTAAGTAAAGTGAACAATAAAAGCAAATAATTAAAAATTATTACAATTTTTAGTTATAATATTTTATGATTAATTATAATTTTCATTTTATATATAGTAACAAACCTCGATAGAGTAATGTTGCATTACTGGCAGCCGTCTGAAAAGGTAACCAGAGGGATATCACAGTTCGCTGTTGACCTTCTGTCATTGGATTCAAATTTTAAAATATTAATTTAATCATGAGAGGTTTATTTTAATTTTTAGTAACAATTATTTAATAAAAATGACAAAATCTAACCAACAAGAGCTCCCTTGAATAAATAAACCCTATTCATACCATAATATACTATATCCCAATCAAAATTTAAAATAAATCATTTAAAAAAATGTTATGTAAAAATAAAAATTGAATAGTAGTTTTATGTGTAAATAAAAAACAAATTTTCTATTTTATATATTTTGTTAGCAAATGACTTCTATTAACAATTAACATTAACTAGCATTATTTAAAATGTTTTAAATAATTTTAATATAAATTTTTTAAGAACACATATAAAAATGTATTTAATTTTAAATTTATCCATCTGTGAGGAACTTTTTAATGGGCAGTAGTGCTAGTCTAGACTAAACTCTCTAGCCAGCTAGAGTAGGTGCAGAACTTGAATATTTTATTTATATTAAATAATATTCTAAGTAAAAAAATAAATAAATGTTAATGAAAATAAATTTATAAAAAATTTATAAAAAAATAGAAACCTTTGTGTAAATCTGTAATGGCAGAAGCTGAACTTTGAAAGGATGACCAGAGCTTCTGGGTGGTTTTCTCATTTTCGGCCAGTATGCGCTCCTCAATGAAACTTTCTTTGTCCCAATCCTCCAGATATTTCTTCTCCCAGTGACTAAGATAAATTTCAGGGCAGCCATCAGTGTCCGGCTCGTTGAAATCGTTCATTTTGAATTTTCGGTTCTGCTATAATCTGATCGAGAAATTATTTATTTGACGTCCATAACATACACAAGACGATTACATATACAAGACATTATATTATAACTTTATAACATTTACGAAATCATAGAACTTTAATTTTTTCAGAGAAAATTTTTACGTTAATTTATCATTTGTTTATTATATTTCAATTTGCATGAGTTAAATAAAAAAATAGTACTTTTTTATATAATTAGATTAAAAGATATAGATTTTTATTTAATTGAAATGTATTAAAAATCAGCTAGCTAATACAAACTGTAAATTAACTTTTAGTTTTAGGCTAGGATTGTTAGCGTTATCACACGTCGACTTGTTTTGATTTGAGGGGATCGGAGATTATTTTTCCGATGAAATAACTTTTAAATAACTAAAAAATAGTGTAATTATTCAAATTTGTTTAATTAATAAGATGAAATTAACTCCGAATCTAGAACAATTTTCAATTTTTATTTTGCTTTGGGTTGGTACCAAATTTTTTTTTTTTTCTTGAATATTTTATTTATATTAAATAATATTTCTTTTTTTCTATTTTGTATTTGATTTTTCTTGCTGACGAACTGGATAAGTTCATTTTTCCGGATAATAGATTTATTTTATTTAAAATTTTTGTTAATTAATCGTTGAATTTGACATCTCTATGCACGTTCAAAAATGTTAAATTCAAGTAGGTAATCTGCTTGAGTTTATATTATATTTATACTTTTATTTATAATTTTATATAGTCTTGAATAAAATTATGTCTTTTTTTATTTTATTCAGATGTTTGTTTTGAAAGTAGCAGTAGCAGACGTCATACCACTGAACAGTGATAACATCAATACAATACTAAGTAATTGATTTTAAATTTTAGTATGAAAACATTACACAAAAGGTCATTTTTTTGGCAAATATGATTATAATAATATAATATGTAATATCATGGAAAAAGCTAATCACTGGGTAAAAAATCTTAGCTTAGTTACCTTCTAAAATAAATATTAGTCAATTGTGATAACTTTGCAAGTTAGAAAAAAAATTAAATGAAATAATTATTTACAAAAGGCAGCTTAGCAGCCTCCTAAGCCCTCTAATCAAAGTAATGTAAACAAAAAGTTTTTTTATATTTTTGTGTTTAGAATAGATCACACTTATATTATGAACTTTGTGAACATGCTTCTGCATAACACACAATTACAAATTTTTATCCATGATTTTTTTTTTTTTTGGCAGATTCCAATGAGTTGGTTATGGTTAACTTCTATGCTGATTGGTGTCGATTCAGTCAGATGTTGACTCCGATCTTTGAAGAGGCGGAGAGGAAAGTTAAAGAGAAACATCCTGTATGTATTCATTTTTTTCAACTCCATCCATTCATTGTATTAGTCTTGAACCATCCAGTGCTCAAATATCATAAATAATGTTTTGTATTTTTCAGGACGAAGGGAAAGTTGTTTTTGCAAAAGTCGATTGTGATAGAGAAAGTAATATATTTTTTAATTACTCAGTTTTCAAGTATATTTTTGTCTAAAGTCTATTTTTGGATAAAACATTTCAGGATAATTTTTATAAAAATATTTATTTATTCTTTAATTTCTATTTTCTCATTGTGCAGGCCAGATAGCAGGCTTGTATCAGGTATCAAAGTACCCGACTCTGAAACTCTTCCAGCAGGGTCAGGTCATGAAGCGAGAGTACAGGGGTCAAAGGTCGGTTGACGCTTTTGTCAACTTCATCTCCGACCAGTTGCAGAATCCAATCCAAGTGGCCACAGATCCTGACGAACTGGACAATCTGGATGTTAGTCCCATCCTGTTCTTGTGTTGCATTTATATTCATCCTGAATAACTAGAACATTCATGTCATACATCGAATATGCACCTACATGCATATACACACATAATAGATGTATATATATATACACATACACGCACGCATACACGAAAACAGTGGCACAAGCCCCATGTGATTGGATACTTTGATTCAGAAGATAGTCCTGACTACAAGTTCTTCCAAAAGGTTGCCAGTATTTTGAGATCTGATTGTAACTTCCATAGCCTATCCGGGTTTGTCGTTGTTGTTGCTGTTGGTGGTGGTGGTGGTGATGTTGTTGTTGCTGATGATGTTGTTAATGATATAGATCATCATTCACCCACATGATGTAATCATTTAGTTAAATGTTTAACATTATCATTCACTCAGACCCTTGAGTGAGAAAGATAGGATTGCTGGCAACAAGATTGTGTTCAGGCCTGCTGTAGTTAGTCATCATCATTTTCATCATCACTTTCATCATCGTCGTCGCTAACATCATCACCACCGTCGTCATCATCTCCACCACCGTCGTCATCATCATCATCACCGTCATCATCATTATCAGGAGAATTACAATGAGATGGTCTTTCCTGGAATGGCCAGTGATTACAACATGCTGCTGAAGTGGACAACCGATAAGTGCGTGCCCCTCGTCAGAGAGATCACATTTGAAAATGCTGAGGTGCTGATGATGATGATGACGACGACTGTCGATGATGATGATGGTGATGACATCATGATGATTTTTATGAATAATTCTTTTAATCATTTATAATCCTGCTGCTATGATTAATACATTTTTAATATGATGAACCCTTATCTATTACTCTTTTTTCTTCCTCTCTCTTTCTCTCCCTGTCTCACTTTCTCTCACCCTGTCTCTGTGTGTCTTTCGCTCTCTTTCTTTCTCTCTCTTTCTCTCTCTTTCTCTCTCTATCTCTCTCTATACATAAATACATATGCACACACATAGGAACTGACAGAGGAGGGCCTGCCCTTCATGATATTGTTCCACCACCCTGACGACATCGACACCCCACAGAGATTTAGGAAGCACGTCGCTTCGGAGTTACTTCCCGAAAGAAGTTGAATATTTATTTGTGTGCATGTGGGTGCGTGTGCTTGCGTGAACATATACACATACACACATATCTATATGCACATTACACATACACACGTGTCTACACAGACTTTATGAACTTCTTGGTGGCTGACGGGTTGAAGTTCACCCACCCCCTCCATCATCTGGGCAAAAGTGCCAACGACCTTCCAATCATTGCCATCGACAGCTTTAAACACATGTACCTCTGGAATAAAAATGTCAAGGAGCATATGGAGTTTGTATTGTTTTTTCTTTGTAACTTTTCGTTTTTTTTTCTATATGTTTTTTCATCTATTTGTTGCATGGAACTGTGAATGTTGATAACATTGACGTCTTCATCCTGTTTCTTATTTTTTGCTTCGTTTTACTCACCACTCCTCTCCACAACTGCACAGAGACAAGGGGGCCCTCCTCACTTTTATTCAGGACTTGAAGTCTGGCAAACTGCACAGGGAATTCCACAATGGTCCTGATCCTACACAAGCTCCTGAGGTTAATGCTTATTTCTTTCTCTCTCTTTTTCTCTCTATATCTATCTATTCTCTCTCTCTCTCCTACTTTCTCTCTGTTTTTCACTCTCATGTTCAAATGTTTAACTAACTGGCTAAGTTTGTTTTCCTGTAATTTTTATTCAACACAACTCATTTTTTAAATGTTAAACGTTCACCAGCCATCAAATTTTCAATTCATGTTGCATTATCATATTGTTAATATTTTATTTACAATTTTAAAGCTAATTAAGATCATTTAGTGTATACGTATGCAATCATATGCACGCACGGCAACAACAACGTAATCCAACCATCCCTATCAACATTTCACTAGCTGCCAGTTGCAGGCAGTAACGACGACCCCTCAAGTGAGACAGACTCCTCGTCTCAGGCCCCCTCAGAGCACATCCCTCACGACCCAACTTCCGTTGAGACCAAGAAACCCGAGCACGTCCCCGGGCAGACATCACCCCCTGAATCTCTCTTCAAAAAATTGGCGCCTTCCAAGAATAGATACACCATACTTAGAGATGAGCTATAATTGTGTGTGTGTGTGTGTGTGTTTGCATATTTTTGTGCATGCTTTTTTGTATGTGTGTTTTATTGTATGTGTATGTGTATGTGTGTATGAGTATGAGGGTTTGTATGAGGGTTTTTGTTTGGTTAGTGCTTTGTTGCTTGCTGTTGTGATATGGTTTTTATTGTTGTTTATCTAGTTTATATTTGTTAATAATGACTTCTTTTACGTGTTTGGTTGATATGAACTATTCCATGTCGCTTGATTGATTGATTGATGGATGGATAAAATGCTTAGTTAATTGATTGGCTTGATTGGTTGGTTGATCGAATGCCTGGTTGAACGATTGTCTGGTTGGTTGATTGCTCAATGGATTCTTTGATTGTTTGATTGATTTTCATTAAAAATAGATCACAAGATGAAAAATTTCTTCACCTTGCAAATTATTTTTGCATAACACATCCAAGCAACTACGTGTCAATCTATCTATCCATCCCAGTTAATATCTGCTAAATTGACACATTAATAATATTTTTTATTATGCTTTCTAATTGTACAAAAAAAATGTTAAATACTTTGTTGCTGTTGTTTTTATTTTTGTAGCGCTTATTTTGTTTGGGTTATTTTTATACCAATAAGTAAATAATGATAATTGTTATTTTAATTATAGTTATTATTATTATTTTTGTTGATTTCTATTTTATCTGCCATATGTGTGTTTGTGTGTTTGCCTATGTGTTTGTCTGTGTCAAGCATCTATGTTTTTGTGCATGTTTTGTATGAGTCTTTGTGTATGTTTCTGTATGTGTATGCGTGTGTTGTTCATCTTAGTATGTTTTTGTATGTCTGTATGTGTTTTTATGTATGTGTGTGGGTGTGCGTGCGTGTGTGTCCACGGCTTTCTCTATTATTATCGATTAATTGGTGTTTGTGGGTTTATTTACATTTCTACAATTCGGATGATAATAATTGTAAAAATAACTTTTGCTATTTTTACCTCTATACAAAAATTTTTTGAATCAGACTGTTATATCTTTTAATGTTTGTTTGCCTGGATAAATGTGTGTGTGTGTGTGTGTCCGTGTATGTCTGCATATGTGTGTGTGTATGCGTATTGTTTTGTGTATACAATGTATGCGTTGTTTTATATGTTTGCTTTGCTTACGTGCACGTATGTGTATGATGTTTGACGTTTTTTTTTGCTTAAGAATGAATCTATCCATACATGCACAGGTGTATGTGATTTTTGATCTTAAATCCTGCTGTCTCAGTGATGAATAACGATTTCGATATAAACTACAGTTGATGTTTAAACATAATACGAATTTTGAATTTGACGCTATATAAATAACACATTATTATTATGGTTATTATTATGGTTGTTATTATTATGGTTGTTATTATTATGGTTGTTGTTATTATTATTATGGTTATTATTATTACTTTTTCTTGTAATAATAAGCAAAAACATGCCATGTACGTGCGTATCGTAGTAATAGCAATAGAGCTGCTAGTTTCGTTCACTAACAACAACAACGAGACATTCATACATAGTGCTTGTATATTATTTGTCCATGGTTTGTTGTTTATGTCTATGTTGTTTAAACATTCAATGACGTTGGGGGGGTTTTGTCGGCGGTCTGTCTGAACAACTTCAGGTTACTACAATGGACGATGTACATATATATTGTTGTATCATTAATTTATTTATTTAATTATTTATAATATGTATATATGATATAAATATATATATGATATAAATGATTATGATTAATAGTGATTAAATGTTGTTACAACTAATTGTTGCGTGTAAATTGAAAGGCAAATTTGAATGTACGTGTGTTTGTGTCTGTGTGTGTTTGTGTCTGTGTGTATGTGTGTAAGTAATAAGTGTGTACTGTTTTGTCTTCTGACATTCACTCTTCTCTATGTGGAATAATAACTATTGATTATAATAAATTATCATAATAAATTCGTGAGGAATGCATGTATATTAATAATTTCGACACGTCACGCACGTACAAGCGTGCGTGCACGCACTACAGGCATAAATACGTACTTGTATAAAACTCATACATGGTATTTTTTATTGAAATGATAGCACATTATTTGTATAGTTCAAAAATCTTTATGGCAATAGTAGAATTATAATAATATTATTATTATTTTATTACTATTAAATTATTTTATTTATTGTTAGGAGATCGTTAAGAGATGTACCCCTACCTGTACATCGCCGTAGTGAAATTTTATTTGGGATTTTTTTTAAAGAAATTACATGCTGTTTGGTTTTTTAATTTTTTTCAAATTATTCATGGTGTAGGCAGTTTACTATACTCGTGTATATATATATATATATATGTGTGTATGTGAGTGTGTGTATGTGTGTGTGTGTGTGTGTGTGAGAGAGAGAGAGAGAGAGCGTATATGTGTGTGTATTACTATTATATTTTAAAACAGCCATCATCAAATTTAAAATTTGGTGTGAAAATTATATACAAATTTAAAGTTATATATATATATGTGTGTGCGCGTGTGTTTGCTTGTTTGTGCGTGTGGGTGTGTATGTATATGTGTGCGTGTGTGTGTGCTGGTATTTATGTATACACAATAATACATATATTGTATCTATTCCCCATTAATTTAATCATTACAGTTTAAATCGTTAATTTTATTTTTATACTACGTATTTCAGTTAATTCACTAAATTTATTATATTTGAACATTTAAAAACATCCCATATGTTAACATACTTATGTTATGTGTGAGTGTGTGTGTGTTTACTTTGTATACTATGTATATACGTATATATATATATATATATATATATATATATATATATATATATATATATATATATATATATATATACTGGTAGTTAGTAATAACAGTTTGAAATACTTTGATTTATTTTTCAACGGTAAATTCTATATAATTTTAATTACATTAACAGTTAGATAATGAATTGATTTGCAATATAATCGCAAAAAAAATGTTTCTCTTTCTTGGTTGAGTTTGAGAATTCTACCTAAAAATCACGAAATTGTAAGAGATGAGGTGTTTGAAAGTAATGTAAAAACGAGAAAACTGTTACAGGCCTTTTAACCACTTGCGTATACTATTTACATTCTATTATTCTTAAGAGAGTATTTCAGTTACTGAAGTTATTTTTGAGTATTCGAGTTACTTGGACAGCCTGGCTATCATGAGGATGTACATGAATAGGTTGATGATATCCATGTAGAGCGTTAGGGCGGCGAATACGTACTCCTCAGGGCTGATGGCGTATTTGTGGCTGCCACCTATTATCATCTGTGTGTCCATAACTATGTACTATGTGCGTGAATAGATGGATGGATTGATGAAAAGATGGATAGATAGTTGAGTGAATGGGTGGATAGGTAGATGAAGGTAGGTGGATTGTGCTGGCAGAATGTTATCTGTATTGTTTATGTTATGTGTTCGTTGTTATTTTTGTGAGTTTGAGATTTTAAAATAATTTGGCATCACTCGAGTATTAATTAATCTATTTTTTTCAATAATTTTCTGTTTAAATAATAAAATTTAATTTACTCTGAACTCTTCGAGATAGAAATTAATTAAAACATATTACCAGACAGAACAGAAATGCTCCCAGACTAGCGTAAACCAAGTGAAGTATCTGAAATTATCAACAACTCTTGCAAGCTTCGTGCTTCAAGTTCATGCTTGCTTTACACATTTGGTGTGTTTTATCACAAATACACAGATACACACATACACAGAAACACACATACAATATGGCGTACCCTGTTCATGATGAATATGCACATAATTCCAAACACCATGAGGATTATGATGGCCACGAATAAAACTCCGTTGCATACCGTGAAATCTATCTGATTTGTGAATACAATCAAATATATATATAGCCAAATACTTAGTATAAATACATGAAAACCAAACATATGTATACATATATACACTACTTATATATATATACGATATATACAATAATTGATATATATACGGTACCAACTAATAAACTTTGCTAAAGAACTTTGCTATGCTTAAAGAAACTATTCAAAGGAATGACAACAACAAAGATGAAGAATACGATACCTTATATAAAATATTAGAGATATATACATCTATATTCCGTATATGAACCGTACCAATGTGAATACAAAATATTGTATCTGTATTTTGTATTTTTTTAAATATTTGTTTCAGTTTATTTGATTGGTTAAAACGATTAGTTGAACGCACCGAGTTGGATGTTGTTAAGTATTTATACAAAAAATGAGATTTCATATTTAATGGCACTGCACGGCCAAATTCTTACTTTGGTTTGGAAGGCGAAGAGAGTAAGTGCGAAGACAACCAGCTGTTAATTAATATGCTTAAATTATTGCTAATTAAAATTAAATACATTATTATTATTATTACAAATTAAATTCTATTTATTATTTTAACATGAAAAAACGATAATTCTGGGTTGGTAACCGTTGTGATTCCAATGGCTAAAGCTACAGTATCCCCTGAATGAAAACTTTTGAAATTTCATTCATTCGTTCGTTAGTTCATTTTTTCATTCACTCATTCGTTAGTTCATTCATTCTTTCAATCAGCTTTTCTTTTATTTATTTATTTATTTATTTATTTATTCATACATTAATTTATTCATTTAATAACCATTTTTTTAAATTATTTCAATTCCAAAATCCTGTGCAACCTTGTAAAGCAGCCGACCATCAAGCTCATGCAGAGTGTCTTGAATGAATGAATGAATGAATAAACGAATGAATAAATAAATGACCAAATGAATGAATGGATAAATGACAATGCATTCACTGTCCAAGAGCAAAAGGTCACCACATAATACAGGCAATGTCTGTAATTAGAGGTTTTCACGCGTTTTCTTGCACACTATGTGTAGTGTTTGTGTGTGGGTGTGTGTCTGTCTGTCTGTCTGTGTATATGTGTGTGTGTGTCTTGATTCCTCCAAAGCAAGATACACTAAAATAGAATGACCTTTAACCTTTTAATACGTAATAGAACACCCAGCCATACAGCTTGCACTTACGAAAAATGTCAAGAGAACGACGTTCCACGGATAAGTTCTTCTCAACGACTCGAAACAGGTCAACGCGAACATAAAGACGAAAGACGTTACTCTGTTTAATAGGATTTCATAAAATAATAAATAATAATTATAATAAATAATAGTAATAACAATAATTATTATTATTTCCGTATTAATAGTAATTTATAAACATTAAATAAATGTTCTACAGCAGTTTGATTGATAAAATTAAAGAAATCGTTTAAGTCACTGAAGTGACTGGATTATGGATTTCAAACAAATTCGCATTATTTCATTAGTGGTTATTATTTATATTAATTTTAAAAAGGTACATAAATACATACGTACGTAATTGTCCAAAATATTTAAGTTGCAGTTAAATTATTTTAGTCTAAAATTCGACATTCAATCTAACGCTGCTATGATCATTATCCATGAATGCTCGTTTGCAAAGTATCTAATTGGTGGCCTGCAGGTAAGTTTAATAATAATTAAAAGAAAATAGATATTTTTTAATAAAGAAAATTAATTAACTAAAAAGAATTATTAATTTTGTTTAGTATCTAAAATTTGATTAATTGGTTGATTGAATGATTGATTGGTTGGTTGAATAATAGATTGATTGATTGATTGATTGATTAATTGATTGATTGATTACGCACACGAAGGTGAATAGAACGACGAAGACCATGGTGACCATCAGTTGCAAGGTCACGATGGCATATACTTTCCTGATGAACCCTACAAAATAATTTTTTTTAATATAATGCATTCTTTCGTTCAATTTTTTCAGTTTTATTCTGCATGCTTCTCAAATAATTACTGAACAATGTAATATGAACGTTGCACGTTGAAAATGGATACAAAAATTACAAAATTATTTATTGTGTGTGTGCGTGTGTGTGCGTGAGAGAGAGGAAGAGAGAGAGAAAGAGAGGGAGAGAGAGAGAGAGAGAGTGGAGTGTATATTTAATTGATCATCGAATGGCCGTAGTTTCTCACACATTCGAATGCGTTTATCAGCGAAAAGGTCGTTAAATTTTTCAGAATTGTCATCCAAGCTGACGTGAGAGGCCATGAAGAAACTGCCCAGAGTCCCTTGCCCTCGCCCCATTTTAGATAATTAAGTAAATTAATTAATTAATAAGTTAATTAATTGGTTGATTAACTAATGTTAATAATTGAAAATTGTGATAAATTGTTACAATAGTTAGTAAATTAGGATGAAGTCTAATTATTATTATAATTGTTTATATTTCAGCAGCATTATTTGTTTATTATGCTATGACGAATGGTAGGATTTTTAATCAGTGTTGGGTAAAATAATTCGTTTTTAATTTAAAGAACAATCAAATTCGTTAAACAGCCTGTGGTCAACCAGGTTTATATTTTTGAAGAATCATCATCAGTACCGCCGCGATGCTTTTGTAGAATCGTAATCATCGTAGTTTAAAAATCTTTTAAATGTGTTTTTGTTAATTAGGTCACAACACAATCATCATCATCATCGATGTCGATATAATATTCAATTAAATTGAATTAAGAATTTTTTTAAACGTCAAGGTCAGTTCTTTTGATGTGCTAGTGTTGTGTGATTATGTATGATCATGTATGTGCTTTTGTTTCATATTAAAATCAAAAATAGCAATAAGTGGGTTAAATAATGATTTTAAATCGTTTGGAATTCAAATTTTGCCCAACACCGGCCTTTGTAATCTTGGCCAGTCAGAGGCGGTTTGATTCAGACTTTATGGCTGTTATTGTTACGAGAGTGTATATGCAAATGTTTGGTATTTAGTTGTAAACAATTGATTATTGCATTATATTAATGTAGCAGTAATTGTACATACCTTCTTTTTTCTATTCTTTCTTTCTGTTTCTTTTTCTTTCTCTCTCTCTCTCTTTCTCTCTCTCTCTCTATCTATCTCTCTTTTTCTCTCTCTCTCCGTTTCATTGTCCTCCCAATAAGTCATTACACACTAGTATAAGTAAAGTCTTAGCATACAGCATAAGTCTCATTGTAGATAGTAGTATTAAAACGTTAAACATATATGTAAGAGTTACACATGCATGTAAAATAATTTATTTTGAATTTTGTCATTTCATTTCCATACAAAAGAGAAAGCCACGTGAAGTTAATTACTTAATTGATTTCATAATTGATTACTTTTGAATTTTGTCATCCCATACTTTGGAACGAGAACATGCGTTTAATGTGAGTATCGTCATAAATAAATAATATTTCGAAATATTTTCTTTCGTGGCGGTGTACAATTGACGTCGTCTGATAATTATTCCAAACAACAATGCAGTTGCAATATTTAATAAAGTAATAAATTAGCTATAAAAATGCTGACTTAATTAAATATTTAACAACGAAAGTTCATGGGCAACATTGGATTCATCTGCAGCTGCAACAAGTTCGAGTGCAACACTACAACTTCCAACTTTTTAATTAACAGGACCAGTTCACAATCACTTGCATTGCATCAGCTCCTATGTCGTCATTAACAACAACTACGTCATCAACAACGACTTCTATAGATCCATCTGTATCTGTAAGTTCTCAGCAGATGGAGAAAGAACGGATTGAGCGCCTCTTCAAAAGGTTAGACATTGATCAAGATGGAAGGATTGGTCTGAATGACTTCACGAAGGCATTGAGTCAGCTGGATATTCCGACCACCAAAGAACAGAGAGAGGTCAGTTGGATCATATGATTCATTGTGTTTTGGCAATGTCTGTGTTTTGTTTTGTTTATGATAATAGTATAGTTATAGTCTATCTATAATAATCATTATTATAGTATAAGGGTTTTTAAAATTATATATTTATTATTTTTATAATTTTATTTTGGAAAATTTTAGTTTGCTTTTTGTACATAAAGTAAAATCATTGACAGGCTGTTTTTCAGGCCCTGACACTCTGACCTAATTTTTTCAGGTCTCACTTTGAAAAGTAGTACTGTAAAATAATATTAATGCAAATTAAATTTTTTAAAGTGGCAAATAATGATGAAAATTAATAATACTTTTTTAAAGAATTTTTTTAGCAAGTATGACGAGAACAAAGATGGAGTTATTAATCTTGAAGAATTCATTTCATACATCAAAGAGCATGAAAAAGGATTGAAGTTATCATTTGACTCCTTGGACCACAACAAAGATGGTGGGTGCTGTGATTGGTGGATCGTATGATTGTTGACACTATTTTGTTGTTTAATGATTGAAATAAATTGTTGATACTATAATTGTTTAATGATTGAAACAAAATGCATTGAAATTATTATCAAATGAAATTAATAAAATTTGTCAACTACATACAATATTTATTTAGGTTACATAGATGCCGACGAAGTGATCAACACATTGAAGAAGATAGGTGTTCAGATCAGCAGAGCAGAAGCCATTAAAATGATTAAAAGGTAATTTATGTTACAATATGAAGGATTTAATAAATAAATTTATAGAAATTAATATTTGTTTCTTTTTATTTTTATGGTTAATGTTATTTTTTTTATAATTAGGATGGATAAGAATAACAGTTTGACAATAAACTGGGATGAGTGGAGAGATTATTTGTTCATGTCACCTTCAATTGATGTCACAGAAATATGCAAAAGTTGGAGGCACTCTTTGGTTTGTTATCTATGTGCTGTGATTTTGTGTCTTTGCTCATGTCTTTGCTCATGTGTTTGTGTATGTGTGTGTGTGTGTGTGTGTGTGTGTGTGTGTGTGTGTGTGTGTGTATCTGTCTGTCTATAAGTCTATACGTTTGTGTGTGCTTTTTGTCCGTCTGTAAGTCTATGCATTTTTGTGTGTTTTTTGTGTGTTTGTGCCTTGCTATACTTTGGCGTGTTATAAACAAACATATTACAAAAAATATCTTTAGCCAATCAATTTTGAATTTGACAAACTAATTATTACATGCCAAAATCCTGATCAATCAATCAATCAACCAATCAACCAATCATTCAACCAAACAACCTGTGTAACCAACGAATCAGTCAACTGATCACCAACCAATGAAACGTTTTAAAAAGTCAATGGACACAGGCGAGCCAGCGGCAGTACCTGATGACTACACAGAGGCAGAACTTCAAAGTGGTGCCTGGTGGCGACACCTGGTGGCTGGTGGCATCGCCGGGGCCGTCTCCAGGACCTGCACTGCCCCTTTTGACCGACTCAAACTTACCCTCATGGTGAGCTAATGGGTGAAGGAATGAGTGAATGAATGAAAAAATGAGTGAAGGTGAATGAAAAAATGAATTAGTGAGTGGGTGAATAAATGAATAAAGAAATGAATGAGTGAACGAATAAATAAATGAATGAATGAATGTGTGAGTGAAATTGAGGGAGAGATGAATTTTAAAACAGAATAATTGCTTTGTAAAAATGTGCGTAGGGTGAATATTGACAGAGAAATATCATTTGATGGTTGGTGAGTTTAATAATAATGGAAGGACACTGATGATAATGTTGATAATGATATTAGTGATGATGATGGTGATGAGGATGGTTATGATGTTAGTGATGATGGTGATAATGACGGTGCTGATGATATTGATGTAACGACGACGATGATGATGATGATAGTGATGAGGATGTGCAACATTAAAATTATTCTTTGGTTTTCGTTTGTTTTATTGAGCAACTCACTAACCATACTTGACACAATGGCGCGCTAAACAAATATTTACATTACTTTGTCATCCGGCCAACTTTTTTGTTCATCATCCTCCTTGCTCTAACATTTCTCACTCTGACTTTCATCGTCATCATTGTCGTTATTGTTACCATTTCGCAATCATTATTAACCTCATTAGCTTCGCTATTATCAATATCATCACCTCTATCATTGTTGTATCGGTTTTCCATTTTTGCGTGTCATCTCTTTGCAATCGAACCCAATCACTGCAACAGCAATGCCAGGCAGCTTAATCGTTAGGCCATCACATTCTCTTGCAGGTGTACGCCTCACAGAAGAACCCAATCCAGATAATAGGAGGCTTCAGGTACATGATCAAGGAGGGGGGCATAACATCCCTGTGGAGAGGAAATGGCATCAACGTCGTCAAGATTGTCCCCGAGACTGCCGTCAAGTTCATGGCCTACGAGCAGGTTTCCTCTTGTGTTGTTGATATGTCGATGTGCATGAAAGTGTACACCATGCACCAAAAAATATGCAAATGTACTCAAATGTATATAGGCGGGAGTGTAAGCCGATGCCTGAAAACTTGTTTAATTTTGTCGTAAGTGCTTGTTAGCAATAATTGTGCACTTAGTTTTTCCATGTGTGTTTCAGCTTTATTGATACAATTGAATATTATTGATTGAGTTCATTTTATATACAAATTTTGCTACAAACAAATATACATACATACAAACAAACAAACATACATACAAACAATCAAACAAACATACAAACAAGCAAACAAATGAAGTAGAGTTATGAAAATTTTCAAATATCTAAAATACAAGAACATTGAAAGTAACTGTGAGAATTCTGCAATGATATTCTCATACCACATTCACCAAATGTGCTGGCTGATAACTAAAAGTGCGCATGAATGGATTGAACATGCGAGCCACTCTACAGGTCTAGATCTAGACCTATGAATGACACTACACACCTTCATTCTCAGATATATACATATTTAAAGTGCAAACAAACAACAAACAGGTGAAGAAGTTGATGGTGCTGAACAACAATGGCCTCGAGCTTGGAATCGTTGAGAGGTTTCTGGCAGGTTCAGCTGCTGGAGCCATCTCGCAAACTGTCATCTACCCCATGGAGGTGTTCATGTTTATCATTAAAAGTTATTTAGTTGACCAATCAGTGGAGTGACCAATTAACCAATCAATCATGTGACCAATAAAACAACCAACCAATCAACTTTCAGGTCCTCAAGACACGCCTTTCTCTCAGAAAAACAGGTCAGTTTGATGGGGTGCTGGACTGTGCCCGAAAGATATACGCGAGAGATGGATACCACTGTTTCTTCAAAGGCTACCTGACCAACCTTCTCGGGATCATTCCATACGCTGGCATTGATCTTGCCATATATGAGGTGAGATGTGCTGGCATTCTTTTTCAGTCAGGGGTAGACGAGTTAGTGGATTGGTTTGCTCAAATGAAGTACTATATGTTTGAACCTAGATAAATATATTGAAATAGGTTTAACTAAAATGAATGGATTTACTTAATCATTTATGATTGATGCAGCATGCAGTCGAATATAAACTCTTTCTCCCCACCATCATTCATCACATTGAAACCAACCCAACCTACTAGCAACTGAAGCACTGGTACATAGAGAAGTACCCTGACAAGAGGGAGCCTGGCTCTCTGGTGCTACTTGCTTGTGGTACGATCAGCAGCTCTTGCGGTGCCGTCGCCAGCTACCCATTGGCGCTTATCAGGGCCAAACAACAAATGAATGGTCGGTTTTTGTTTGTGAGTGTGTGTGTATTTGTTTGTGTACGTGTGTATGCGCGTGTGCGTGTGTATATAATATAAAGTTGTTGCGCTGCATGCTTCTATGTAGTTTCATTTTCATGGTTATCAAATTTTCTCTACATTTAGAATATTTTTTTAGTAGTTATGATGAAAAATTGGAAAGGTGAAGTTCTTTGAACTTTCATTTCTCCTATTCAGTAAGCGTGCATCAAGTAGAACTGTCACTGGCGGGGCACTTGCGATACATCCTCGCAAACGAGGGTCCCCGAGGGCTCTACAGAGGGCTGGCTCCGAACTTTCTCAAAGTGGCCCCAGCTGTCAGCATCAGTTACGTCGTATACGAACACGCTAGAAAGTTACTAGGCATTGAAATGTCCTGACTGCCGATGCTGTTGTTGACGATGGTGGTGGTGGTGGTAAACATGTTGGTGATGGTGGTGCTCCTCGTGTCTATGAAAGCGATGTTGGTGATGAAGATGATGTAGATGATGATGATGAAGATGATGTAGATGATGATGATGATGATGACTGAGGTGAAACCGATAAAAACCGATTTTTATAAAAAAAATAGGATAGTTATTTGTAACTGTTTTGTTTTTGTCAGACTTGCTTGATGTGGTTTTTGCTCAAAATTGACTGATGGTTATGCATTGGTTGATTGATTTGTTGTTAGTTGATTGATTGAGTTGTTGATAGATTGATTGATTGATTGATTGGTTGAGTTGTTGGTTGATTGAGTTGTTGATTGATTGATTAATTGGTTATGTGATTGATTGGTTAAGTGATTGATAGCGTGTAGTTAGCTGGTGTATTTGTTGATTGACAGAAGTGTCGACCAGTCATAATTTATTTTATCAATTTGCTACACTGGCACAACTTTTGACACCGTGTATAACGTATAACAACATGTGGGTACTTATCAATATCGGATTTGTTAGCTTTGCACATGCTATAATCTTTCATTCAAAATTTTTCATTCAACTTACATTCATTTGTAATAGTTCCTCTCCTCTCTCTCTCTCTCTGTCTCTCTCTCTCTCTCTCTCTCTCTCTCTCTCTCTCTCTCTCTCTCTCTCTCTCTCTCTCTCTCTCTCTCTCTCTCTGTCTCTCTCCTTAGCTGCTCCAATATTTTTTAAATTTAAAGTGGATTTTCCCCTTTTTCTTTAAATTTGGCATTTTCAGAAAATTGATTTGCAGGAAACGCGCTTGTACATTTAGGAGTTTTATGGGCTTACAGATTACAGTTTTTAGTGTTTTTGAATCAATCTTTCATTCATTCTTTTATTCATTCATTCTTTCTGGAATTTTCCATTTTTGTATTATATATATATATATATATATATATAATATATTATATATAATATATAATCACATTGTGTTTTCTTGATAAATTATTTTTTAGATTTTAGCCATTTATTCAGTTGATTAATTAATTGATTAATCAATTCAGTTGTTTATTTAATATAATTATAGATGTGTTTAATTTCTTAAAACGGTTCATTTTCTTATTAGTTAAGCTCTGATTTTAGTTAAATCATTTTTTGGATTGACATACATTTTATTATTATTATTATTATTGTTGTTGTTGCTGTTGTTATTATTATTATTATTGTTATTATTATTGTTATTATTATTGTTATTATTATTATTATTATTATTATTATTATTATTATTGTTATTCCCGTTGCAACATCACAGCAATACGCCACTATTTACTAATCCATCTAACACTGTTTTTATCTGCATTAGTTTATTATAGTCTGTTATTATGATTATTATTATTATTATTATTTCTATTATTCGCTCAATTGTAAATTTAAAATACAGAGATAGTTTGTCAGTTTTGCTATGTTATGATTTTTGGACAGACTTCCACTTTAATGATTGTGAATTATATATAATTCAATCAATCATGTGAATTATATATAATTCAATCAATCATGTGAATTATATATAATTCAATCAATCATTCACCATTTTGCTGTTTCAGTTAACAATGTGTATTTTTTCGTTTTTTTTGGCGAAGAACTTTTATTTGGAATGCCCGAAAGACTTAATTTATAATCATTAACAATCATAATTTTTACAGATTTTTACATTTCTTTTTCAAGTTTTCCAACTTTTAGGTAATGATTTGTAAGAAGTCCTATAAATTCATTAAAACCATCCAACAATAACTTGGGAAATATAACCCGCTGTCATCTCACTCATTCAACTTACCACAACAACCTCAAAGACTAACTAACTAAACTACAACAATGTAGCCCCTTTAACGACCACGGACCTCGTTATAAAAAAACATTCAACTTTCAAGTCCTTTTGTTTCAAATCGTATATAAAGATGAGAAATTTAGCACCACCTTGTTAATGACACACTGACGTGGAAATGTCAGGAAATGAATTGATTTTAAAATGACACCTGGAAATTTCATTTGTTGGATTACTGGCAGAAGAAGTGTGATAAGAAAATTGGAAAACTTGAAAAAGAGTCCTAACGATCCGATAGCCTAGATCGAATTCAATAAAATATGTATAGAGGATAGAATCCTGCTTAAATTTCCTATACGTCATTAATTTAATTTTTTTATATGTTAGAGGGCACGAATAATAAATAAACTAAATAATAATATGATACTGCTGTTATTTTAATACTGTACGTCATCCTCATTTCAATGCGTTTGTTGGTCCAATAGACGGTGAACTGTTGATTTGTTTGCTGCAGGGTTTTTTAGTTACCTTCTTTAACTGCTAGTTAATATTTTAATTATTCATTTATTTATCCTGTTTTTGTTATTATTATAACATTTCTTCAAATGGAATTTTCAATTCAATTTTGATTTGGCATTTTGGTTTAACTTTTTTTATGTATACTTATATTTACACATGATATATATATGTATATATTTATATGTATATATATATATATATTATATATATATATATATATATATATTTATTATGAAAATTACTTTTGTACATCGCACCATTTGATTGTATTGTCTCAATTTCTTTTTTACATTTTCTATTATGCAGAAACATATAAAATTTAACTGTCTGTTTAAATGTTATTTATATATATGTACTATGTAATGATTGTTTTAAAAATTATTGATATGTACTATATTTTGATTCCTTACTTTCTGAATGAATAAAAAACTTGGTCGTAGACATAGATAATGTTTGTGTTTTCGTCAGATCATTTTTATCTATTGAAATTATATAGGTGTATATACGTATTTAAGTACTGCATGTCTAATTTGTAAGAATATAATTATATATATATTATACAATAGTGAGTGTATATGTATATATCAAAGATATTGCTTTGATACTTACATAAATATAAGTATTAACTTTGAATAAAAATTTCTTAATTATCTATGAATTTGCATCTCAATTTTCTAAACGTCTTTGCTATTTAGATCCTTATTTTCGTGCAATTCGTAAAATAAAAATTAAAGGACGAGATTTTTCTAAAAAAAATTGTTTTTTGTTGAAAATAATAAAATAGATTATCGAGGATGGCAGCTACGAAAGTTTCAGAAACATCTGCTCAGTTGACATCTTGTAAAGCTATTTTGTTGGTGCTGGTTGGAGAACCGGTCAATCCAGCACAGAAGGATTCAGTCATTTCTGAATTAGAGAAAGGTTATTTATAATTTATTAACATTATTTATTTTGACTGTTTCAAAAAAATTATAATTCAGGCATAGAATTGGTTAATTTAGTCATTAGTTGTTTAAGTGAATGGAGATTTTTGATTTATTTTTATATAATATAACACTAGGGTGCTAGAAGTTTTAATTAATTAATTTAATAATTAAATCTCAGATTTTTCACTGATTAATTAATTAATTAATCATTAAATTAAAATATTATATATTAAACATAAACGTTAAACTGATTAAAGATTGTTATTTTAATTTTTAAGTTTACAATTTTTAAAGTTAAACATAAACATATTTATAAATAAATGTTTAAGAGATAAAAATATATATGAATAAGTATATGTATGAGTGACTGTGAGAAAGTCTTCTCTTTTTTTCTCTTCTTTTCATTCCTGCTGTCATACTCTCTGTCTCATCTCATAGATTCAACTTAGATAGAGATAGATAAAGCAGACTGATTTGATGTTCTTCTCTATTAAATTTAATTTAAGACTATTAATATTTTTGCAAAACTAAAGAAAAAATGGCTTCAACCACATATTTCTTTTTTCTTTAGGCATAAAATCATGGAATGTTGAGATGTCTGGTTGTAACATCTTTGATGAACTTGAAACGGCACAGACCACATTTACCATCAATGATGAAGGTTCTCATGGTTAGTTAATCAATAGATAGATATTTATAAAAATAACATAGAAAATCTTTTAAGTAACAATTATTTTTGTAATTTTATAGGAGAAAAAGTTCTGACTTACAATTCAGATGTGGTTTCGATTGAAGTCTTAATCTATCCAACATTTAAACTTGCCCAGAGCAAACTGAAACAGTTTTTCACCAAAGAAGGTTCTTATAGGCACCTTGTATATGCAGGACCATCTGTTAGGGGAGCCAGTAAGTGGATCTTACAAGATGCTCTATTCAGTTGGAACAACTTCTTAGAAATTTTCCAAAGTTCTGAAGTATTAAATGCCATCAAGCAAAATGTAGTTCGTGGACATGTCATCATAAATTCTTACGTTGACAACAATTTGCTTGACGTGAAGTTTTCAAAAGCAACTGGTTTATCATTTAAACTGAATGCCCCACACCAGGAGAGGGAAGAGAATGTTGATAACTTCATAGCTTATATTTCACAATTTGTTGTTGTAGAGGAAGCAAACATCCTCCTGAGGTCAACAGATGTTGTTGGCAACATAAGGTTTAACAGGCCAACAATTTACATATTTCCAGCTTGTCAGGGTGATTCAGCATTATTTGGAATCAATGGATTCAACCTGCTAGTTGATGGTGGCTACAGTAAAAAGTCATGCTTTTGGGATTTTGCAAGACACTTGGATAGATTGGATGCCATCTTGATTTCTCATCTATCCATTGATAATTATTTTGGTATTAACTCCCTTTTGATTAAAAAATTTAAAGATGGTTTTCAGCAGGAAATAGGCTGTGTTTTTGTTAACTCCATTAAAGATACTGCCAAGTTATGTGACAATGCTAGTAATAATTGCATTGATGTTGATTCACTTTCTAAAGCTTCAGTTCTCATAGAATCAATGAAACTGATGAATATTATTTTCAAGCCATGCTTCAACAATAGCAACATGCAACCAATCAATCTCTATCACAAAGTTGGCCATGGTTCTTTGGATCTCTTTGTTCTCAGTCCATCACAAAACAGCAAGAGTACAAATGAATTTCTTTCTATGTGGAGCAAGAATGTTGACCCATTTGTATCAAAGGTTGGCCAAGCCATAAGTGACTGTGTCTCAATTTGTGCAATATTGGTTTGGAAACCTGCATCTCCACATGATACAATTACCAGGCTGCTTCTCCCTGGAGCTGTCAATCAAAGTGTTCTCTTTGAAGGAATGGAAAAACTAAAAAATATTTCTTTGTTTCATCAACCGACTTGCAGAGAAAAAGATTTGAACCCACACAAACCAGAAAAAAAACCTGCCAAGCTGGTTACAAAAACTGATGTAACATCTCCAAGATCCGATCATTCTGGTAAAAGCAAAAATACTTGGCCTGCTAAAAAAGAATCAGTTGGTAATGATCTCAATAAATCTAACAAAAAGGAAGATGCTGGTACAAATTTGAAAAAAGATAAGATCAAACCTGAATTAATTGACGATAATAAAGAGACGAACAGTAAACTTGTTGATGAAAATAAAGAGCTACCTACTGTTGATGCAAGTGTTGAAGTTTTAAATGCTCCAATGCCTGAAAAAGATGAAAACTTGATAATTGAACCAACCGTTTTGAATTTTAATGCAATTAAAGCAGATTCAAGTGAACCTGCAAAATCTCTTGGTGATGTCGTTACAAGTGTTGAACAAGTGCAAACAGATTCAAGAAATGTTGAGCTTTCCAGACAAGATAGTTTAGAAAATATTGAAGAAGCTGTCTTGGAGCCTGGTGATGATAAGTTGGATGGGATCGACCTTAGTGATCCAAATAGTCTGAATATGGGCAAACTTCAAGAAGGTCTCTCAGACACTGTAAATCAATTTGATTCTATTTCAGACAAGGTTGAGGTTAAATGTCAAGGTGATGAAATCAAGGGCTTACAAGATCAATCAAGTAACAATGGAGAGAAGGATGAGAAAGATGTGTTTGGTGAATTAAATACCTGGGACAAACCGCTAGGCGTTCCTCCCCCATACAAGATGTCGCACAAAATAACTGCTCCATCTTCAAGCAAGAAACTTACAGCTAGGGGAACTTTGCAAACCGGCAGAACGGGCCCATCTAAATTTGGACAAAAGTTAGGAAATGTTATATACCTGGATTTGGCGTACATACCTCAGCACGGCGACCCTCATCATGTTGATGTTGATTTTTTCAAAAGAGTCAGAGCAAGGTATTATGTTCTTTCAACAATCTGTCCAGACGCAGTAGTGCTGACTGCCCTTCTCGAAGGCAAGCAGACCTGGGAGGACCCGAGTTTGGAGGTGACCATCATTCCAACGTACGACACCGAGGTTCTAAGGTACTGGATGGCTGCCCATCAAGGTCAGTTGAGTCAGTTGAGAATCAACGTTGCTCCTGCAGCCAACAGATGCACCATTCAACTGCAGGACCACGAGACCAGTTGTGCTGCTTACAGATTGGAATTTTAAAAAGGCCGATGATGTTTTGTTCAGTGTTTTTTATATTTTAACAATGCTATTTCCATTTTCTTACGTTAAATTAGTTGCTAACAAATTGCTTTTAAAGTGTGCTTATGCTTTTAAAAATTTGAATCGCAAAAAACTTAACGCCGCATCATGCTACGCTATCTGTAATGTTTTAATTTTAATAACTTTTGGTTTTCAGCTTAATTTTATATTCTAATTGATATTGTCCATAATTATTGTTATTTTAACATTAGGCCTTTTGCATTCTTCAAAACATTTCTGAACTTTATATCTACATACTTACACGTTACACTTACAATATATACATGTTATTTACTCATTGTTTTTTTTGACTGCTACTTCAATCATGCATACATTCGTTTATTCATTCAGTCATCCACGTTTATTTAATCACTTTTTTTGTTTGATTGTCCATTTTGAAGCTACTTTTGGATTTAAACATCCGATCACTCAAGCGTTTTTAAAAATTTACTACGGAAATTTTTTTTGAAGTTAATATTAAATGATGATGATGAATTTATAGTTGCATCTCATGAATATCTAGTCACTTTCTCATCGTCGTGTTCATCTTTATTAATGTTTATTTATTAATTTTTTCATTATAAGCTTGTTTTTTATTCATTGTTAGTATAATAAACTCATTATTGTAAATAAATGTTGAATTGTTCTCGTGCGCTTCACGGTAACAGGTTGAATAAATCTACAATTAATGACAGATCTTGTGAAATTTTGAGAAACCTGTTTTCCTTAACAGTTGATGAATGAACGGATAATGTTTGAAATGTTTTATTTACAAAGAAACGTCTACGAGCGTCTCTAGAACTTATATTTAAGGAGAAATGTTTACAGTTAACTGCGTGACAAATAAACAGTCGTCTCATACAATGAAGTATTGTGTTGACTTGCAGTGTGCTTGCACACGTGCGAGTGTAAGTGTATATTTAAACATGTGTGTGTGTGTGTGTGTGTGTGCTAGCGTTCATGTACTGCTCTTCACATCCCCACTCTTCTATATATGCATACTTTTGTGTGCGTGTGTAAGAATCAACACATTTAAAAATACCGTTTAACGTGAAAAATAGATATTTATGGTAATACTCAAGCGCGTATGTAAGGGGTTTGTACGCGCTAACGTATTTAAGTGTATTTGATGTGCATTCGTATTATTGGGTATTATATACATACATACTTGTATACTGAGCACAAGAGATACTATATCGAGTACCTACATCTATTATAAACTAGCTAAGTAGTTCTTTTGTAGTGCTGCTACTATCGCCTAGCCAGCATGCAATTCAGCTCTCTAGTTGAGTTTCATTGATAGAGTTTAGAGTAAAATAACTTGTATTATGATTGTTTATTTGGCTTTTTGGTTTGAATAATTTTAGAGCTATTTTTTCGCCTTTTGTGGTGTTTTATATATATGAAAAGAAGATGAGCCTTATTATTATAACAAATAACGTGATTAAGTTAATCGCTTTGAAGTTGTAAAAAGTGTTTTTTTTTGCAAAACTTCTCTACTAATTGCATGCAAATTTTATAAGTTAGGAAAAAACACGTTGAACATTTGATTTCGCGTAAATATTTATCTAACCAGAGTTGTAGTATATTTGTTTTATATCTTTAACTAAAGTTAAACTTGTAAAATTGCACCCAACACGAATGGAATCACCAATATTTGATTCCAACACTTGGCCGTCCGATCAAGCTGTTGGATGACAAGGGAATTCTGAAAACTTTGTAACTTATGGACATGACTTTTATTATTAAAGCAGAAATATTACAACTATGAAAGGATATTCCTTCGGTTTAAATAACGGAAATAAAGAAGTTTGTAAATTTTAATGAATATATTTTCTAAATAAATAAAATTAATTAATCAGGTTTTCCAAAATCGTGATGACCTCTTAAAGATGAGTTAGATAAGTTATCCATCAAGTTATAAGTTATTCATTATAATACACTATTTTTATTTTAATCAATTAACTTTTAGTTATGTTCGATTAACTTTTAGTTACCTCAAAAGTAAACTTCACCTATCTACCTACCACGTGTATGTGTGCTTGTGTGATTGGTTGACTCTAACTAATTAGTTGGTTAGGGATTAATTTGTTAATAAATTAACTATGGGCGGTTTATTCAAAACCTTTTTGGAATTAGTAAGTTTCAACCTTCTTAAAAATTTTAAATTAAACTTTATTTTAATCTTCTTCTTAACTACTTAACTAAATTACTAAACTCTAGCTAGTCTCTAATCTAAATGACTCACTAACTAAACTAAACTATAAAAAAGTAAAGCTTTATTTTTTTAAATTTTATTCAATAATTTATATTATAATTATTTATTATGAAGAAGTTTCTTATTCATTTTCCTTTCTTATTTTCTTTACAAAAAAAAATAAATATAGAAGACTGTTCACTGTATCACTGTATAAAAAAAAAGTTTATGAAATACTAATAATTACTATAGTATGGTCAAAAATTAATTTTTTCTGTACATCTATCTATAATAGTCACTAGGTACAGAGATAGTTAATTTTAATACTATCTTTATATTTCAATGTCAAAGTTTTTGATCAATTTGAATAAAAATTGAAATGAGAAAAAAACAGATAATAAAAATTAAAAAATTTTATAGATTTGAAAAAATCTTTATTTCATTTATTATCATTTATAAAAGGATTATAAATAAAATAAATATTATATATATATATGTGTATGTGTGTGAATTGTGTGTGTGTGTGTGAATTGTTTGTGTGTGTGTGTGTGAATTGTGTGTGTGATCACAATTTAACTAGATTGCATCACTTTCTACTCCAACCTACTCCAACTAAAGTTTAGTTACTAAGGTCTCATATATATAGACATATATACATAAATACATACACACATACACACACACACACACACACACACACACACACACACACACACACATAATAATAATACATACATTCGTACATACATCATACATACTCACAACACACACATACATTCATACATACATACACACACACACATACACACACACACACACATACACACACACACATATATATCATCTTATTCATAGTCTAGTTATTTTTCTTTCTTATATAACATAATTTCATTATTTATTATATGTTGCATACATTACATAATAATAAGAATAATAATAATAAGAATAATAAATAATAATAAGAATAACTATAACAATAATTATCATAATTATATGGTGTAATCCAGTTTATCAAAGTTAAAAATTATTAATTATTGGAGACGAAAAATTTGATAAATAAGAACATGGAGATATAAAAATAGTTGAGAACATAGAAATAAATGTCAATAGCTTAATATGGCCATAGATAGCTATGAACATAGACTCTTAAAAGTATGGATGACTGATTTATTTTATAGGGTATATTTTGGTTACACTATACAGGAAATTATTAACTAGTCTGCTTGTTCATCATAGCCATTTGTCAAATCAAATGAAGGCCACTATTATAATGGGGTATATTGTTATATATATATATATATATATATATATATATATATATATATATATATATATGTATATATATGCTTGAGTGTGTATTTTTGTGTATGAATGTGTGTGTGTTAGTATGTGTGAGTGCGTGTGTGTTGTGTGTGTGATAGTGTTCTATCATTAAAAAGTATTTGTGCTTTGTTATTGGTGGCCACTAAAAGAACAATGTTTACCTTTTATACCAGTTTAAAAGTGAAGGCTTGGTTTGAGCAACTAATTCATTCATATATTTCACTCGCCCACACACGCACATATATACGTACACACACACAAACATACAAACACAAATACAAACATACACTAACACGATAATATTGATAATATTAATATGACCGATAGCCACTACTTTACTCTTGCATCAATTGATCAGTAGCGGCTTTGACGTCGGGTACTCCAGTGAATCAGTTTTGTTATAAATTACTATTACTTATTATTATTATTATTTATTATTTCTCTGCGTAGGTGTATGTATCTCTACTGGATTATTCTTTTCTGTCATACCAAATTTAGATAAATCAAAATTTGAAGTGAAAATGTGTATGTACAACGACACGCACGTACAGTCACACACGTACACACACGTATGTATGTATGTATGTATGTATGTATACATGTATGTATGTATACATGTATGTATGTATGTATGTATACATGTATGTATGTATACATGTATGCATGTATGTATCGTCGTCGTCATCTTCATTTTTATGTTTAATCGTCAAATAGAATATTTTATATCAATTGATTTATTTCTTGCATGGTGTACAGGAATAAATAAATGTGTTTGCAATGTAATAGATACAATCAAATATAGTATACCATAGTATCAAATATACAATTACATTCATACATTTGTGCCACACGCACCACACACACACACACACACACACACACACACACACACACACACACACACACACACATGGTAATAAACTGTTCACAGAACATTCATGTCATGTAAAAATTGTCCGGATTGGATAGATCATTTTATTGTGTTTTATTTTATATACTAGTCGCTGATCAACTGTTGTGTGGCACGTTAAGTTTTATTTCATCGTCGTCGTCATCTTCATTTTTATGTTTAATCGTCAAATAGAATATTTTATATCAAATTTCATCAGTTAGTCTTGTTTGACAGGCCACACACCATCGTCAGTGGTGTGGTGGTTAGAACTGTTGTAGTGGTCTGGCTTTTGTACGACTTCAAACTTCAAAGGCCGTTTCTGTTTTTCAAAACTTTGATGGATACCGGAAATTTTTCTAAAATTTCATGAAGAATTGTTTGTGTTTAGGATACGACACCTAGAGCTTCTAATTTATTGTTTAATTCGCTGTAGTAATCGGGAACTCGCACTCCATCCCACCCTGTTCAAGCTTTCGACCCAACTTCAGGGATGGATTGGATATCCAAAAGTTTCAACTTATTTGTATGGGCCATTTTTTCATAATTTATTATTCATATTATTCATGTGATGTGTCTCATGATACATAAGTATACGTCCATTAATTTTTCCCAAACAGTTGCACACAAACAGTAGTAACAGCAGCAGCGGCAGTAGCAACCACACAAGCCACCACTCGCCACCTGTACAATCTCACAGTGCCCTCGCTGAATCAAATGCTACCCTTGTTCAGTTCCTCAAGGGTTTCGGGCATGATCCCAGTGAAAGTTTTGCTTTAAGGTTGTTTCTTTTTGTGTGTGTATGCTTGTGCGTGTTGGTGTGCGCGCGTGTTTATTTGTTTGTGTAAGTGTGTGCATGCGTGTGTGTGTAAATCAGATGACACACACGTACATAAAAACACATGTGTTAGGATGTGCCTTCAGCGTCCTTTAGTTATTAAATGAGGCGTTCTGATGTTTCAAGCACTTGATAATTTTCATTTATTTTTCAATTTTAACATCTTTTAAAGATAGCTAGCTCTATAGAGAAATGCTGAATTATCTTCATCTGACTAGATGATTAGCAACAAAATGTTGATCCAGTGGGAACAGTCATTCAGTGGCCACCTCGTCATCATCATCCTCATCATCGTTTCACTATAACCATCATTATCTCCAATCACATCATTGCAAATCAACATTGATTTGAATCTCAAATTCATTTGCCAATTTTAAATGCATTACTCTGGTTATAGTGTGTGTGTGTGTGTGTGTGTGTGTGTGTGTGTGTGTGTGTGTGTGTGTGTGTGTGTGTGTGTGTGTGTGTGTGTGTGTGTGTGTGTGTGTGTGTGCATACTTACGTTTATGTATGCAGATATGTAGAACACAACACATACATGCATACCAATCTATGCACATATCATAAATGCAGTTAATATAGATATGTGTATGTGTGTATAGAAGTTTACACGTATGTGTGTATATATGTATGTGTAATTGAATGTGTAACTGTGTGTATGTGTGTATATATTTATGTGTATAGTGAATGTATTTATATCATATTGAGCATAATAGTATGCCTGCAAAATTGCATATATAATTTGGGCTTGACATTATTACTACAGTGAAGAAAAGCTTAGCTCTTTTACATACATGCGATACATACATACATACATAACAAACATACATATATACATACATACATACATACACTTACCTACGTATATATACATCTATACTTACATGCCTGTATGTTTGTTTGTTTGTATGTTTGTTTGTTTGTTTGTACATACAAACAACGTGTGTGTGTGTGCGTGCGTGCGTGCGTGCGTGTGTGTGTATGTATGTATGTATGTATGTATGTATAGATGTATAGATGTATGTATATATTGTATGTATGTGTGTACATACGCCACAACACAACGCTATAACATTGTCTGCATTGATTATTTAAAGTATTTAGGTTAAATTTCTGAATATTTTAAAATAAGTTTGCACACACATGCAATGCACACCAATTCAGCGTATGTTTGTACGTATGTATATGTATGTATGTGTATGTGCTTATGTATTTATCTTTGTATCGATGTATGTGTTTGTATGTATGTTTGTATGTATCTTTACGTATGTGTGTGTGTGTGTGTGTGTGTGTGCGTGCGCGTGCGTGTGCATGTATTTGTATTATGTTTATTTGCACGTAATGAATTTATAAAAAAAATTTTTTGTCTTTTAAATTATCCTAAATGATCTGAATTATTAAATAAGTCAGTTGCGGTGAGCCTGTTCGAATGCATAGAGATTCTCGCATATCACGTGCAATTTGCTTGTTTCACGAGTATTTATACATACAAATAAACTACTTTAATCTTTAATTTGTGTTGATCAATTTTAATTTCATTTGGATAGGGTGACTTTCCTACAAGCATTTGGTTGCTTTTTCAGTTTACCCCTCTTTTTTGAGAAAATAAAATAAATAAAATGTACATACATATATACATACATGCATGCATTGTGAAAACTATCGAAGAAAGAATTGTTACGAATAAATGAATGAAATAAATAAATAAATAAATAATTTATATGAGACGTTCTTAAAGTTCCCTTTTTCAAAATTTAAAATGACGTCTATTTTTCTCAAACAGCAGCATGGGCAAGAAACATCAACATCATGATGGTTTGGCAACTCAGAAAAAAAGTTAGTTGTGGACGTTGTGTGTGTCTGTGTCTCTGTGTGTGTGTGTATGTGTGTGTGTATTGAATGTGTGTGTGTGTATTGAATGTGTGTGTGTGTATTGAATGTGTGTGTGTGTGTGTTGAATTGTGCAAATACAAACACGCACATGGTAGATGATGATACCGCGGATAGGTATCGTTATTCACATGCGTTTTGCATTAACGAGTGTGTTTGTGTGTGTGTGTATGTTTGTGAGTGTGTATATGTGAATGTTTGTATGTGTGTGTATGTGTGGTGTGGTGTGATTGTGTGTGTATGTAAATTCTCTTGTCAACAGCAATTGTAGTGTTACTCAACGATTCCGATTCCTTTCAGCGTAATATAAGATTTCCGTTTATCATTGAATATGTATAAACTCAACTTCGAAGTTATTGGGTCTTGTGTGTTTCTCTGTTTCATTTTATGCGTGTGTATGTACGCTTTTTTGTATGAGTTTTTATGTGTATATATATATGTGTGTGTGTTTGTGTGTGTGTGGCGTGTGTGGTGTGTGTGGTGTGTGTGTTTTATATTTATAGCTTTCAGTTTTATGATTATTTTCTCATTGAAAACGTAGAGAAAGTGAGTAAGTTTACTATATCAGTCGTCATTATTGAAATTATTTGATGCCTCCATCACTATCATCATCATCTGTAAAATCATCATCAGCAGCAGCTCAAATGGCGCGGTGATAATCATCTCCATCATCATCGTCGTCGTCATAATTGCAATCATAATCATGATCGTCTGTAGTGTTCTTATTGTTCAGTTATTTTGATTGGTGGTGTTGAATGAAACTGCAACAACAGCAACAACAACAATAATAATAACAACAATGATAATAATAATAACAACAATAATAATAATGAATAATAATTGTAATCTGTTATTGTTGTTGGCGTTGTTATTTATTATTTCAATTTATCATATTTATTATTATTATTATTGTGGTTTAAACAGCCTGTTTTTGTATTATTATATTAGAAAGAAAACAAGATCATTAGAAACATATGCTGTCTAAGCTAACCCAACTTGATAAAAATAATTGCCAACTAAACACGCTCACGCACACACGCACACACACGCTAACAAACATACTTTCACAATACACAGACACACGTGGATATGTATGTGCGTGCAGTTATAGCTTGTCATTTAAAATGAACCACACATATGTACGCGAGTTTGTATATCGAAACGAATAATATGGTATTTTTGGTTTTAATTATACACTCATCAACTTATATAAGTTACAATTAAGAGTTAATACTCTTAATACTTCAAGTACCGTAGTATGTAGTGTAGGGTACTAATGTGTTGTATTGTAATTGTAGTGGCACATGGTACCCAATTTTTATTAAGTGATATTTTACTTATGTAAAAGTAAAAATGAAAGTAAAATGATTCGGATTTTTTGAGTAAAAGTTTAAGTAAATTACAAAAAATTAATTACAAAACTGTAAGTTAGAGCAAAGTAAAGTATTATTCATCTGCAAGTAAATGTACAGTAAAAGTAAAATGATTTTTGCAAGTAAAATATCACTTTTATTTTATGTTGTATCGTTTTAAAGTCTTTTGGTATTTTGTATTAAAGTAAGTTCATATTTTAGAAAGATGTTTTGTAAACAATATTCAAAGAATTTATAATTAATTCTATGCTAATCAACTGACTAAGAAAAAAATCAGTTTAAATAAGATATGGTTAGCGCAGTGGTGTAACGGCTAAGATGCCTGGCTCTTCTTTTGCAGTAACTGGATTCGAATGCCTAAAGATTCCCGCTAATCGCCTGAAATGTGTGTGTGTACTTGCATGCAACTGTATGTTTTTTATGCCTTTTGTGATGTACTTAAAAAAGGAATCGTAAAAGAAGATGCTATATTGCAAACAGATGAGGAACAATGCGTCATTTGTCCAACTGAATGAAACCAATTTTCTTCAAACAAATTTTTTGTAGAATTTTGGAGAAACATTTTGTATCAAAGGCGTTCTAAAGCTCTCAAAATAGAAGTTAATAACTGCAAAAATATAATTGACACAGTTAACTCTGACTTATTCATTTCTCTCTCTCTCTCTCTCTCTTCTTCTCTCTCTCTTTCTTTCTCTCGTTCTTTCTACCTATCTCCAATGTAGTGGTTAATGCGGTGGACGTATTTAAGGAAAATATTTATGTGTGTGTGTTTTTGTGAGAGTGAAATTAAACATAAAATGTGTAATTAAATGAGGTTTATGAATGTTTATTTCATTGAAAAGTGGTAAATGCGAATATATACATACTAATGCTATTACTGGCTTGTGTTATGTTATCCAAGATAGCTCCGTCCATTCGTTTATCTTTTGTTGCTCTTGTTGTTATTGCTTCTATTGTTAATGTCATTAATATTGTTACTGTTGTTATTATTATTACTGTTTTTATTATTACTGTTGTTATTGTTGTTGTTGTTTTTTTTATAGCCGTTTTATGCCTTTATCTTTTCTTATTGAAGTATAACGAACTGGAATTTTGAAACGTGAAATATTTAATATTCGTGTCACTGTCACATATGTGTGTTAGGTAACATTCATATCATAGGTAACTGCTGGAGTAATTATAATGGTTATTGTAAAGCTTCAATCACGCAGTTTGTGTGTGTGCGTACGTGCTCGTGTATGTGCGTATGTGCGTGCGGATATACAGTACAAACGCACACACTCACACATAGATTTTTATATATATATATACACATTCAGTAAATTCACTTCTCTCTCTCTCTCTCTCTCTCTCTATATATATATATATATATATATATATATATATATATATATATGTTGGTAATAGACCATAATTTTTACAATATTCTATAAATTCTACCGAATGTTTGGCGTTAATATGTTTGTAGTTCGTTTTTTCGATTTTTCTCACTAAAGTTTTTTGGTGAACGTTTAGTTTATTAAAATTCAAAATAAACTTATTTTTCGAATTCATGCTGCAAATAAGGCCATATTTCGATTCCGAATGAATCATCATCAGTGCTCCTTGCTGTATATATAGGGAAATATTGACTTTGTCAAGATGAACTTTGACGTTGTAAAAATTAACTTTGGTGTTGTAAAGTTGAACTTTGATGCGAATTAGGTGTCAGGTTTCTTTATTGGCTGGTCATCTTCTTTGGTCTCCTTTTCTTCATCGATAGCATCATATTCTTCTTTGTCACTATTTACGATGCTAGTTTTTATTACTTCTTTGTTTTCGTTGTTGGTTAAGCGCCGGGTTGGAAGTGAGGTTGTCATTTTTAAATATAAAACAAAATATACAACAAAAAATGCGTGTAAAATGAATGCAAGATTACGTGAATGAAGGCATAGCATAGCAGCAAACTATTAGTATTATTATTACTAAAGTGAGTAATGTAGTAGTAATCAGGATGACGGTATTGTTTTTGGAAGATCGTCACAGCAGGCATTCAACCAACAACTCTACCAATGCTTCTTCATAACTTGTGGCTCTCTTCGTGAAGTACTAGTAGTAGTAGTAGGTAGTAGTAGTAGTAGTAGTAATAACAGTTGTAGTAGTAGTGGTAGTGGTAGTAGTTATTGGTGATGATAATACTAGTATTAGTAGTATATATTCAGTAGTAATGTTAGTAGCAGTATTAAAAAATAGTAGTAGCAACAGTAAAAATGAATGTAGTTCTGTTATTAGTATTAGGTTGTGGTCGGGTACAGAACCAGCAGTAGTTGTAGTAGCGATAATAGCGATTATGTATTGATTTATGCATTGATAATGTATAGCTAGTAGTGTGATAACTACCGGTAGTAGCAAATCGGTTTGACAGTGCAGTAGTAGTAGTAGTAGAAACTGCGATTGTTGCTGCTGTAGCTAGTAAAAGTAGTAGAACTTTCGCAGTACTGCTTCTTGCTGTTTATTTTTAGCATGACGCGTCCAAAGGGTACACAATCGTCAAGTGTGTCTTTGTAGGTTTGTTTAAATATCTGCGTATATGCGTGTGCGTGAATGTATGTGTATGTGTGCGTGTTGGTTTCTGTCTTTCTATATACATTTGTGTTTGCTTTTGAAACGTTGGAAAGCACATTTTTATACATTTTATTGATTTGTATTCGCATGTATAAATTTGAATAGTTTTAAGTTTAAGACGATATTATGACATTAGATTATTGCATTGGGACGTTGAATTTTGTAAACGAAGCATATGCTGTGCTGTTAGTTTTGCTCGTGTTTGCGTGTGCGTGTGTGTCTGTGTGCTTTCTAAATTATAAACTTATTATTTTATTACTTTCTAACATTTCTTTTGTAGTTCTCGTTCGTTCATTTTATTCTGTCGTTAAACTTTCAATCTTCCATTCATTCATTCATTCGTTTATATGCTCATTCATTCACTCTTTCACATTGATTGTCAGTCAATCAATCAATCAGTCAGTCAATCAATGATATTTGTTCGTTAGTTCGTTCATTTTGTTATATTTCGTTCTTTCGTTCGTTCATTCGTTCGTTCATTCATTTATTTATTCATTAATCCATTTATTTACTCACTCATTCATATTTTGCTCACGTACATTTCGAATTGAAGTGTCGCGCACACGATAACACGATAACATACACACACACACACATAAAATCACATTGTATACTCTATATATATATATATATATATATATATATATATATATATATATATATATATATTCGTTTATACATTTCATTTACTTATTCATTCGCTCGTTTGTTCTTCGTTCGCTCATTCATTTATTCATTCATTCGTTCATTCACTCATTCATTCATTCGATCATTCATTCATTCATTCATACAATTTTATTCACGAGCGTCTTATTTTACAACACAGCTATGAATTTTTTCATTAGCTATGAATTGATACCATAAGAACATTATCACCTTCATCATCTTCATCATCATTATAAATAAGCGATTTTTTATATGCAGTGCGCACACGCACAAACACATGCGCGCGCGTGTGTGCTTGTTTGTGTGAATGTGTACGTGTGTTCGTGTGTATATTTATCGTTCTCGCTTATTCAATGACAAATAGCATAAGGTGTTACGCACCGTACATCATCATACATACAGAGCTTCAAATTAATTCACTCTACACTACTACTACAACTACTGTACTGTGATATTGAAAATAATATAGAGTGGTTAGCTTGCGCGTCAGTGCGTGTGTGCACGTGTGTGTACGTGTATGTATTTATGTGTTATTCGTTAATAACAATGATATTTGTGCTGCTTTAAATATGCGGTGCGGAATAGATGTTTGTGGAGGTATGTGCGGTTTGTATGTACTTCTATAGTATAAGGTAGAGAAGCTCAATTGCAACGAAATAACGACGATTTGCATGCGGCTGTTCTGTTTGTCAGAACTACACCACAATAAAAAAAATGGGATGAGTCTGCCTGATGAGATTTGATTTGATCTGAATGGATGTTTCGTTAGTTGTGCACCTCCCACTTGGTGATAACAAAGGATTTCATTATTTGGTGTATAGGATGGATGGGATGTATGTGTCTACGTTTTTGTGTGCGTGAACGAAAGTTTGTCATTGTTCTACTATGAAAATATTTTTTACGATTGAGTTTGCTAATCTGTGTATAAAAATGAAATAAAAATGCATGTTTTAGTGCTTGTTAAAGTTAAAAAAAACATATTTAGCGTTATTATTTAATGTTCAAATTTTTTGAAATGCACACACACCAATTGACGAATAATTGACGATGGTGACTTTGGGCGCGCAAGAAAGTTTACGGACATCAAAATCGTGAAATATTAGCTTTTTCTATGTGAAATGTTAACTTTTGAACCATAAATCACCTCTCGTGAACACGAAAGTTTTCTACGATTTAAAAATGTTAGTTGCCAAATAACATTAAATAAATTACATGTAGCGTTGATTTATATTTATAATAATCTCTTCCTGATTTTTCATTTATGAACATTCAGATTTACTTAAAAGAAGCAACAGTTCCAGCGCTAGTACGTACTCTGGAGTTAACAATTTCAGAGCACTTCAGTCGAAATATAAGAGTCCTCACGATCTAAGGTTGAGGTTAAACTTTTATTACTACATAAATAAATTCTCATTCTATTTATACTAATGTTGTTGTTGTTTTTGTGTTGTTGTTATAATCACGTAGTAAATTTAGTGGTAGCAGTAGAAAACTTCTTCGTATCGTTACTGCTGCCTGTTATCATTTATTTGCAGAAGTTTTATTTCACTTCAAATTTATTTATTTTCTTGGTAATTAGTTTATAAGTGCTGTTGCTATCATCGCGCTATTATTGAGTCTTGAAGTAACGTTAATTTATTTTGCAATGCTGGGCACAGCAGCGACTACAACATTCTGAGGGATTTACAGAGGAGAAATGAGGTTCCAAAAACTCACCACAACAGCGCCGAAGTATGAGACATCACATTTCTAATTTTTTGCTCTAAACATTTATAATTTCGTGAATGTTCTTTAACAAGTTATTTGTATTAGAGTTTTCATGCGTTTATAATAATAATGTCCGTATTGGCAGTGTGGTTTATTTTTAATTAGGAAACTGTTAATAATTGTTTGCAGCTGTCTTCGAGGTCGTCGCACAGTTCATACTACGACGAAGTTTCATCGACTGTTGAAGACATATCACCTCTAATCCCGCAATCCAGCGTCCACAACAGAGAATCTTACAAAAACTACGCCGCAATATCGACAGACTCCATTGGAGAATCGACCATCCAACAAATTCATCCCACTCCTCCTCAAGTCGACCTTGACAGCTTATCCGTAGCCGGAGATGACGACACATCCATCCCTCGCATCTCCAAAATGAACGACCCCGACTATAAGAAGAACAAGCCCGTTAGTTCTTAAATAATTTTTTAGATTACTTTTCGATAGATTTTTCTGAATACATGAAATTATTACGAATCAGGTAAAACCTCAAACCATCGTTAAGCCTTGCACGAAGTCTGAAAACAAAATTATAGAGAGCCTGATCCAGATGAGCCAAAATATGTCGGTTTTGCAGGGGCAAAAAAATAAATCCAACAGCAAACACAAACCAAAATTAAAATTAGAAAAAAAGAAATTTTCTGAAGAATCTAAGTCCAGTCAACCGTACAAATCAACGTTAACAGAAGAAAAAACTTACAGTGAGTTAATTGACAGAGACATCAAATCCAGATTTCTAATTGATCCTTCGAGAATAACGTCCAGACACCACCACAGTTCCATATCGGACTCAGAGAACCCGCTGACACACATTGATAAATCAGTATTGCACGAAGGCATGGTCATGTCGAGGTCGGATGGATCTGAAGTGCCACACGTTGAAAATCAACTTAAATTTTACTCCAACAAACCCAAGTCAAATTCGTGTGAAGGAACAATATCGCAAAGATCATGTAATAAAACTTTATTTGGCAATATTGACTTGCGACCGATGATTACAACGAGTAGTCAATCCTTACCGACGCCGACGTCCCTAGAGTGTCGCAGCAACCTGATGCTACACAGACAAGCATCCACACCGCTTCCGAACTTTTCAACGGAATTATCAGTTAGTGATTCGTCAGATCACGGCCCTCCGTTACCCGCCAAAACTGGTAGCCGCTCTAATTTATCATCGCCCTTGTACAGTTTAGACGAACTGTTTTCGAGCATAAAAAGATCGACGAGGAACGACCCCTTCTGTTCCTTATCTCCTCCGCCTCCAACACCGCCGCAAAGAACTTTACACGCCAAACTATCGCAACCGCTACAAAATAATTTATCATCTCAGGCACACATTTACAATCCAAACAAACACAACCATCCCAACTCGCATACAATTTTAGAAATTCCTGCCTGTCATCCTGAAATTCGCAGCAATGTCACACCGCAGTTACCGGCCAGACAAATCGTCGGTAATATTTCTAATGAAAACCCTCCATTGCCGCCAAAAAGTAAGCATACGACATCGCTAGCACATAAGCATTCGACTTTAAACGGTGTCGAAAGGTTACACAGAGAAGAAGAGGACATAGTCGAGGAGACGTCAGAAGTGGCTTCTGATTCGTCTACTTTCAATCCTAGTAAAGACTCGGTAGGTCCTGAAGGCTGTCCCGACAATTGCTTGTGGAAGCAATCATTCCCTGCAGAAAGTGAATCCAGAAATGCATTACCGTCAACAAAGTCGTCCCGGAATGTAGCGCTAAATATTTACGACACGTCGAACGCCACGCACGACACCTGTCTACAAACGATCTTTGATGAAGAAATCATCAAGGAGGTCAACAAACCAACGCCAGGTCGATACGATACTTCTGATTCTGTCGTCTATGAGGAAGTCCCCAATTTCGCTGACAGCAGGTTCTTATCTTTCACTACATTAAACTCTAGTAAAATGTTTCATCATTTTAGATTGAGTAAGTTCTCAAGTATTTATTGTGAATGAAATTTTTCTCTCTGCGTTAATTGTCGATGGCTGATTTTTTTTAAATTTTCAATACCACAAGCTCAACTTAAGACTCATTAACATACTACTTAATTATGCATTCGCTGAAAAACTGCTGCAGACTTACACTGCACACACACACACAAACACACACATACACACACACAAACACACACACACACACACGTACACACACATATATATAAATACACACAAACACACGCATACGTACGTACGTACACGCGCGTGTGTAAAGTTTGATGTGATCATATTGAATTATTACGCGTAAACAAATTCCTATTATAAAATTTTACATACACCGCCACACCATCGTTGGTTAAGTTTAGTTAGGATATTTTTCGTTTATTTATTGGTTTATTAATTTTCTTTGTTTGTTTATTTATTTATTTAATTAATTATTTAGTCGTTTATTTATTTGTTTGTTTATTTATCTATTTCTATAGCTCTGTATTCTGAAGTCTTCATGCACAAATAACTCAGCCTCAACTAAAGCAATTCACGTTTAGTTGAAGCAATTTATAATATTGTAATCAACATTTGATAGAAATAATAATTAAAACAAAAAATAAATAGAAGAAGAAGAATCACAGCAACAACAATAATAACATTAATAAGAAAATAGAGCACTTAACTTTTGTTTCAACAAAAATTCGAGCAAAACGAAAGTAAAATATTAAGACGAAATTCGTGTAATCGTGAAATCATTAAAATGGCGATCAGGCGATTGATAGGAAGAAGGAAGACACACACACAAACACACACACGCAAACACACACACATACATACACACACATATGTATGTGTGCCTAGATCGATTAATTATATATAAAAACGCGATCATAGGCATCGTGAGAATTTTTTAACATTCATTCATCTGTTAAGATTTTTCCATCTTGGCTAGCTGGCTGGCTGGCTGGCTGGCTTAGTTGGCTGGCTGGCTGGCTGGCTGGCTTAGTTGGCTGACTGGCTTGCAATGTACGAGATGCGTGTGCCATGTTTTGGTTGTCGTCGTTGTTGTTGCTACTGTTGTTGCTGCTGTTGTTGTTGTTATTCCTACCTCTAGAAAATAATTAAGAAATAATTTTTATTATTAACTATAATAATAATTGTAATTATTATAACGATGGTGTTGTGTGTATATCGCTAGTACTATTACTGCATTGTTAATGAACGTTATTTATCATATCACTGATGATAAATATACTACTGTTGTTACTTTTACTACTACTAGTACCACCACCACTACTACTACTACCTGCTGTTATTGCTGCTACTACTTCTACTACTACTACTATTACTACTACTACTACTACTGCTACTACTTCAACTACCGTTACAACAACTACCGATACTACTACTACTGCCACTACTATTATTACTACTACTACTACCACTTCTACTACTTCTACCATTACTTCTACTACTACCACTTCTACTACCACTACTGCTACTACTATTACTACTACTACTACTACTATTTCTGCTACTACTACTATTAATATTACTACTACTACTAAAACTACTAGTGTTGTCATTTCTGTTTAAATTTTTATATTATTACTAATATTACAATGTATACAATACATGAATAATATTCAATGCTAGCATAGACTAATAAACAAATATATAATAATACATACAATATAAATAATATACAAACGCTATGTGTGTGTGTGTGAGTGTGTGAGTGTGTGTATGTGTGTGCGTTGCGTGTGTGTATGTGTGTGCGTTGCGTGTGTGTATGTGTGTGCGTTGCGTGTGTGTGTGTATGCAGTAGTAGTAATTCAAATAATAATAACCCATACATTTTTAACTATTGTATATGTGTAATCGTACTTCTACTACTACTGCTGACTGGCTGGCTCGCATGTCAGATAAGTCAAATCATAACTGAACGCTATGTCGTCGTTGTCGGCATTTGCTGGCTTTGTACTTTAAATAAATCGTACGGTCTTTTTCTATATGCATGCATGCATTGCATTGCTATGATGAATTCAGTTGTATATATATATACATATATATATATATATATATATATATATATATATATATATATATATATGTAGAAATACACTGTATTGTATGCGTATGTATGTATGTATATATATATAAGTGTTTGTATGTGTAGTGTATGTGTGTATGTATACATTTATATAAATTTTCTGTGTGTGTGTGTGTGTGTGTTTATGTATTTGTGTGAGTCTATATAATGGCTTTCGATTGCTTGTGAACTGCCTGAGAGTCATTTGTTAAGTTTAAACAGCATAGCACTTCATTTTTCTAAGCATGCATACGTGTTTATATGTACATACTTATATACGTACCTACATACATATATGCATTACATACATACGTTTGTACCCATATATATATATATATATATATATGTATATATATATATATATATATATATATGCATATATGCATTATGGTATATACAGTATTCATGTATGTTTTATATATGCACGTACATCATGTATGTACAATATCTATACACATGTATGTGTACATATATATTGGTACATATATATATATATATATATATATGTTTGTATACGTATATATATATGTATGTATATGTATATATATAGTTATCTATGCTTGTGTGTGTGTGCACCACAAAGCAAGATGAAAATATTATGGTTAATATTAAAACTTATATTAATAATTACAGTCATGCTATGACATTGGTTACCATAATAATAATAATAATAATAATAATAATAATAATAATAATAATAATAATAATAATAATAATAATGATGATAATAATAATATTATTATTATTAACAATAATAATAATAACAATAATAATAATGAAATAGTAACAATAAAAAAAATTATAATAATGCTTTTGTTGTTAACAGTTAAATGCATTCTTTTTCTTCAAAATGTTCATATCGTGTGTGTGCGTATGCGTGTGTGCGTGTAATGTGTATATATTCGGTTTGGAATGTGTACGGCAGATGTGTGCGAAGTAGAGATACACCGAAATAGTGAATTTGGCAGAATACAAAAAAACCCACAATTTTGAAATGATTTGTATCTTCAAGAATGAAATACAAGAGGCGATTTGTGTTTATCCAACAATTCTTCATCGAGGTAATATTGTTCTCAATCTCTTGTTCAAAATTCACACGTTTTAACGGCCATGATGGCCAAAAATTTTTCACCCATGAGAAACAACAATTCATTGCTCTGGAGTCTACAAATGGAGATGGCTTTTATGGAAATTGCAATATTTGGCTATTCGGCTTTTTTGAAATGTCTAAAAATATAAAAAAAACTTCCGGTATTAATGATAAAAATCTCTCATTTCCATTTTTTACAAACCCAAGATACCTTTCTCTCAAAAATTTTGTTGCTTATCATATAGTCAATGGTATGATTCTCTGTTGTGGAATTGGAGGTGTCCTATGTCCTAAACAGTCGATGAAACTTCGTAGCGGTATGAACTGTGGGACGGCTTCGAAGACAGCTTAATGTAAATTTATTCATTTTCACGCTCGTTTCTACTATGAAGCCAGTTTAGTAGCGACAATAGCTCCCGAGATAGCACGTTGTTATGAATAATGCTTTTGTATTGTCGTTCTTTTTGACAAATTTCATGCACGAATCACAGGCGTATAATAATAATTATTATTATGGTTTAAATAGTCTACTACTACTACTGCTAATAATGATAATAATAAAATTATGAAATAATAAAAATAGTTGTGGTAGTAGTATTGCAATTGCCAACAATTATAGCAGCAATTGTAATAACAATAATAGTAATGTATGACACCTTATGAATAATGCACTTTGTAGATGAATTTAAATCTCTATATATTTTTGATAAATTTTATTGTATGATGTTCATTTTATTTTTTGTTATTAATATTTTTGAATTCTATTTAAGAAGTATGATTGTGATAAGTTGTGAGGAGGATTTAAGATTTAAATTAAACTTGACTTTATTCATTTCTTGGCAGAGTGAGTGAGCGTATGCAACTTGAATTAAACGAACTTCAAAAGTTGTTTGCCGGAGTAAGTTTTTTTTTTCATTTAATGTTTTTGAAGTTTTATTTATAGGATGTTCGTACTGATTGTAGTTCAGATTTGTCTCCCTATTTCTAGTGTATCCAATGTTGTTGCATTTGAATGCGTTATTCATTCCAATGTTAACCAATGCTAATTCATCGCAATCACAAATTTGACATTCAACCACCACTAACAAACAAGCGACCACCGCAAACCAGCTACAACCACCACTAACAAACAAGCGACCACCGCAAACCAGCTACAACCACCACTAACAAACAAGCGGCCACCGCAAACCAGCTACAACCACCACTAACCATCGCCACAGACGCCAATCAACGACCTGGAGTGCGCCCTGGAGAAGAACAACCAGGACAGACTGCAAACGATCGAGTACCTGAAAGTGAAGGGACTGCTGGACACGGGCCTCGGAGATGAGGAACAGTGCAGGCAGGCCCTCATCAACTTCCAGTGGAACGAGAACGATGCCGCCACCTATCTTCTCTCTCCATCTTCTCACCATCCTCATCAGCGACAGCAACGACATCGCAACTTTATCCCAGACCCAATGGAGGTATAGCCAAAACCAGCGAGAAAATGTCTGATCTTAGAGAGAAAGAAGAGAAAACTGTAAGAAAGAGAAAGAAAGAAAGAAAAAGAAAGAAAGTAAGAGAGAGAGATAGAGATAGAGAGAGGATTAAAAAGATTGAATTGGCTATCTGTGCGAAGTTAGAATGAGAGTCATGGTGAGAGTGTATGGAGAGCTTAAGAGCATTTGTTCACAAGGGCAATTCTTAAATATCGCATTAAACATAGTGCTAATCATGTAAACATTTGGACAACCGCTGAGATGTGTGTTAGTTTAAATAAAATTAACTAACAATAATCCTTATTAAAATATTATTTTCAATTTACGAAGAGGTAATTTGTCAAGAAGAACAACACACAACAGTAGTAGCTCACGACTAACTTACTGATCACAATGCAATTTTTTTAATCTTCATTCTTCATCACCATCACCATTTTTGTCCTCATCATCTCCATTACCATCTTCGTCATCATCATCTTCATCATCATCATCTTCATCATTGTAATTGTCATCATCACCACCACCATCGTCATCGTTATCGTTATCATAATTATCGTCATCACAATTAATGCAATGATTTATATTTGTCACAACGTTTTGATATGTTTATATATTTGTACGTGTATTATATGTGTGTTGTATACATGTGTGTGTGTATATATATATATATATATATATATATATATATATATATATATATATATATATATATAGGTGTGTGTACATATATATATATGTGTGTGTGTTTGTGTGTGAAACCGTGAACGAAAGTAGCTAAACTGATTTAACACACACTAATGGATGAATCCATGTTTAAAATTCCATTACAGTTACATAGTCATGGTAATATTTATTTTTTTTTTTTTTCTCAAATTTTTTACTTGAAAAATAAATGAAAAGTTTGTGTAGCAACACTAATAACAATAATAATAACAACACCAACACTAATAATAATAATAACAGCCACAACGACGATGATGATGGTAGTGATTTTTAACAATATTATTAACACAATTTTAAAAATGTACATACATACTTGTGTTAGTTTAACGATGGTAATGCGTTTCAATGTTTTATGATGTATATTGTATTGTATTCACTCCTAACTCATGTTCGATTATTATCCTTAGAACAAATAAGCAAGTATATTTGACTCGCTGGCTTCGGTACTAAAAGTTTTTTTGTATGTCTGTGTGGATGCGTGTGTGTTTGTGTGGAACATATGAGTGTATGTATGTGTGAATGTATGTATGTATATATGTATGTATGTATGCATGTGTCTGTGTAAGTCGGTATGGATGAATGGATGTGCATCTTTGTATTTGTCTCCGTTTGTGTATTGTATATTTGTTTGTATCGGCTCCGTTCTGAAGTTCTATGAGTTTGTATGTGTTTGTATATGTCTCGTTTGTATTTTTTTTGTTTATTTGTATGTTCTGTTTGTTTTGTACCTACCTCGTATTATTTATTACATTTTTTTTTATTGAGTGTATTTTACCATTTAAAGCCTGAATTTTTGTATCTTTGTACATTACTTTCTAACAAACACTTTAATATGCATGCTAGTATGTTTGTATGTAGGTATATATATATGTTTGTATAAATATATATATGTATGTGTGTGTGTATGTATGCATGTATGTGTGTTTGAAATAATGTCCGTGAATATGTATGCAAGTATATATTGATGAAGAGACAAATAAATAAATAAATGAATGTTTGTGCATGCGTGTGTGTCTGTGTGTGTGTGCGTGTGTGTGTGCGTGTGTGTGTGTGTGTGGCGACAAACCAACAACGACAACAAACAACCAAGGCAACAACACGCACTTCACTTGGAAATATTCTGCGTCGGTCAGTTAATCATCATTGTTTGGTAGTGTTTAGTTTTCTTCACATTTATTTTCGTCCTGTATTTGAACATACAAAAATATTATTATTATTTGTTTATTTTTATTTTATTTCTGTGTACATAGATTGCTAAGCATGTATATTAAGATGAGTGCACGCACACCTTATGCAGGCATACATACACACACACACACACATACATATGCATATATATATATATATATATATATATATATATATATATATATATATGTTTGTGTAGAGACGTCAATAATTACTTTATTTTATAGTATAAATCATTTTTAATTATGAATATTATTTTTTAGCTGGCATTGAACAATATATATATATATATACATATATATATATATATATATATACATATATATATATATATATATACATATACGTATAGTATGTATGTATACTATTCAATATATACACTATGATACTTCGATATATTTGTATGGTTTGATTTGTATTTATTGTGAGAGATTAATTAATTTATTTCTTTAATTTATTATTAAACAGACGTTCCTTGTTTGGTCTTTCTTAATTTCCTTAACTGATTAAAAAGTACCACCGAGAACATAAATTAAAATGGCGACGAGAAGTTTTTTTTAACTTATAAGGCAGAAAACCTTTAAGTATTTTATTATTAGTTGAAAATTTTAAAGTGTCTCGGTTACGAATTCAAAAATTTCACTTTGTAAGCGGTCGAATTTAAAAAAGTCAGTTCTTTATGCGATGGTTGTACCAATATATGAAACCTTCTAAACCAGCAATCACTTCACACTATTTTTAATAGATGTTTTTTAAAGTAATAAATAAATAACTTGATTTTCAATTAAATATAAACTTTATCTTCAGATATTTTTTCAACAACATCGTTGAGTCCTAATCAAAATATAACTTTAACCAAATTTCAAGTGTCCCAACGTAAGCACGCGTTACTACTACTTAGTATTTACAACACGACAGCAACTTTGCTTAGTGAGTTGTTGTGGTAGTAGTAGTTGTTGTTGCTGTTGTGGTTTTACTAGAATTTTTGCATTTGTCGGCAGCCAACATGTGGTTCAACTTAAATAACTTCAGTGAAATAAATAAAAATTCATTTAATTCGACTCATTTCGTGCCAGGCTCGACGTGCCGTTGTGTTGTTGATTTGTTTATATGGTCGGTCGATGGCATGGCCCGTAAAACATAATGACAACCAGAGAAGTAGAACAACGCTCTCAAAAACAAAACTAATTTTCAATTAGAAAATGTTTAACAAGTAATGGCATCATAAAAAATGAACTGCAATGCAGAAAGTGACAAAAAACCAAAAAATAGTGGCGGAGTAAGTAGAAACGTCAACAGATACTACAACCACAACGCCAACAACAGCAATACGCAGACATAGATCACGCATGATTAATAATCAGAACATGAAAGGAAATTTAAATTGATGTTGATTGAAACCATCTGCATCCCAATGTGACTTTCGTTTTTACTTATATCCCATACTGAAAACTTTTAATGCATAAAACAAAACCCATAGCGAACAGTCACGGCACAGTTAATTAAAAGTTAATTAAAATTAATTAAATTGGAAAATAATATTTATATTTAGTTTAGTTTAAAGGATGTTAATTGTATATGCTTAATGAAGCATACATGATCTATACAAATGGCTGAGCTCTTGACACGCACGCATACACAGACACACACACACACACACACACACACACACACACACACACACACACACACACACACAAACACCTATCACTATTAATTGTAGTAATTAAATGAATCGATGGTTCTTTAGTTTGTTTAGAGATTAACTTAATATTAATACTGTTTAAATCATTAATTTTTTGCAGGTTTTCAATGAATCGATCAATCTATTCTGCTATTTAAGATCTACCATCTAAGTAGAGAACTACATAGGTCTATATGTAAGTTAATGATTATTAATATTAGTACACAGATAAGCATTGTAGTTCATAACTCTTAAATTATTATTATTATTTCTATTATTATTATTTCTATTATTATTATTTCAATTATTATTATTCTTATTATTATTATTGAAAGATTTCTGAGTGGGTGAACCGAGTCTAAACAATAGTTACACTCTTCTCTCTAATGAATGAACTAAATAAGGCTGTATAAAATCATATATTGTATAAGCATTATATATTTACATAGTATATATAAAGTGAACATATATAATATATTTATATACTACATACATATCACAGATATATATATTTATTTATAAAACGGTTTTCTTGTATATATATATATATATATATATGTGTGTGTGTAAATGTATATATATATATATAAATGTGTATATATATATATATTGTGTTTGTGTGTTTAAACTCTAATTTTCACACACTCACACGCACAACACACATACGTATAACTCACAAACACACACGCATTAAAAATATATATAATATACACACTTATATATATATATATATATAATTTACAGACACGCAAATTAGTAATTTTATATATTCAAAATCTGCTGTTTTGATTTTATTTTCGCGGTTACAAATGATTAATTTTCTTGGCCGAATTATGCAGCATAAATGGATAAGCATTAGAGCCCGAAGCAGAGAAGATTTTTCTAAACCGCAACTGCCCGCACCCGCACGGCTCATTATCCACATCTGCACCCGCGGAAAGACAACCTGAATCAACCGTCTTAATCTCATGTTTAAAATAAGAAGGTAGCAACTCTGGAAGGCAATCTATTTACAATATAATCATAATCAGACAGCAGCTGATCTGCTGAGAAGACATCTTTCAATTTAAAAGTTATCTAATTTAATAATTGAAATAACATCGGCTAGAACAACAAGCAAAAAATGAACAACGAAATGAACCAGTGAGTGAACCAAATGAACGAATATTGAATTATAAAAAACGAAAAAAAAATTAAAAAAAACCTTTGCTAGGTTTGCTGGAGCGCCAACAAACATTCAATCGAACATTCCTACCAACAATTTCGAAATTTTAATGAAGCAAGAAAGACACATGGCTGCTTTGCTTTTAATTGGTATCATTTCAAAATAAAAAATGTGATTTTTTTTAAAATTTGGATTTTAAACAAACGAATATAACGAAATATCGACCGATAAAAACATTTTGTTTGTATTATCACATGAACTCCTCAGAAGTTCTCGATGGTCTACGTAACATGAACATTTAGTAAGAACAATTCACAGCATATCATAATTGCTAAGTCAACATACCAAACAGAAATAATTTATACATGCACATATTCAAAGTAAATCAAGAAATAGCAAGAATTATATTACCAAATTGAAAAAAACTAAAAACCAGTCAACATTTAATATATAAATTAATAAATATTATTAAAAAAATTGTTCAAAAAAGTAAAATTTAAGGCGACGACGAAAAAAAAATTTAATATGTTTTGTTGGTGTGGTGGTGTGAAGCAAAAACAAACACATAACAAAAAAATAGTATAAAGTTGTAAGAATAGTAGTCAGTCACCTACCTACAATTAAATTACTCTCAGGGCCCTAGCTTACTTATAATGATTAACTCATCTCACCTACCTACAAATTTCTATTTCTAAGTTTTAGGAATTTTTACATGTTTCAGGTATTGTATTTTACATATTTTAACATTTTTAATTTGCCTTTTTCTGGTTGTTGTTGGCTGGTTGAATCCGCTATATTGCTTTTTATATAAACATATAATCTTATTAATTATTTGTATACATGGATTCTAGTTTCAAGCAACTGAAATTGGTGCTACATATAAAGGCACGCAGTTCAAATTTTTTTGGGAAAATTCAAAATAGTTTGAGACCTTGCTAAACATCCAATTCCAAGCCGAGCCAAGCCGAGTCAAGCCTAGCCAAGCCAAGCCAAGCCACGCTGAGACAATATGCGTAGATTTATAAGCGCTTTTATATTAAAATTTTGCTCGCTTCATATACGAATATCCTCAATATCGATATCAAAGAAATAACGCTAGCGAGTAAAAAATATTTTATTCAAAATTCAATTAAAGTAGAACATATACACAAGTTGTATTTGGCAAGTAATTCCATCCAATCATTTAAACACGCACACCCTTCAATTGAACTATCTAGCAATCTATTTCTTTTATGCTGATCAGTTTTCCAGATTTTGAAGAAGCTTGTTCTCTCGATGTGGAAGTTGAAGGGATACATTTCACTAAGTATAAAATACCGCTAGCTTGACGTCTTTTTCTCCAACGATTACGTAACAAAATCTCCATCCTATTTTAAAAATTTTCTTTGATGTTTTAGAATCAATCAGGTCACAATCATTATCATCGATATCGCGATGTAATCAAATTTTTCTGAGAGAATTCAAAATAATTTGAGACTACACCATAACACAATTGAACAATTTGAATGTGTAAATACAACATTATAAATGTATTATAACTACATATATCTATCTATCTATCTATCTATCTATCTATCTATCTATCTATCTATCTATCTATCTATCTATCTATCTATCTATCTATCTATCTATCTACCTACCTATCTATCTATCTAATTCTTTATTTAGTTTTGCCTGCGTATGATATTTGGTCAAATATATTTGATAGGAATTGAATATAACCTTTATACCGGCTAATTTACTAACAGGCAGTTAAATAACTACTGTTAACATGGCGTCATTCACCCATCCTATTTTAAAAATTTTCTTTGATGCTTTTTAATCAGTCAGGTCACAGTCTCCATGTCTTCATGTCTATCCAGCAATACTTCATTGAAGTAATATTCTATCACTTGTTTAAATTCAGTTGTTTTAACAGCTATGACGGCCAAGGTAAATTGCCCGCTAATAATAATCTACAGTTATTGTTTAGCAATTCCAAAATGCTGGTCGAATCGAATGTACGTTACGTCTCGGATTATTATTATTATAGATAAAGCATACGTAGTCATTTGATTTTATGACATCAAGGCAGATTAAATAAAATTATTATTGTCGACGATACTAGATTGATAATTAACAAGAGTGGTAAATAACACAGTTGCGAATGCATTTTTGAAAAAAATTAAAATAAAATCAATAAAACTCAGAAGTGATCAGTACAATGGCAATATAATTATAAGTACAGTCTTATCTTATCAATTAAATATATAGTAATGTGTATTCACCCAATACGTGTACGTATGACTGGCTTATAAAAATAAAAAGTAACTTCGTGCGAAAATGTTTCAGCAAATTGAAAAACTTGACATAAAATTAAAAATTAGAAACTAGAATGATAAAATAGTGTAAAACGAAATTAACATTGCATGAGCTGAAAAACGACAGCACATGCCAACCAACCTGCATGCAAATAAGTACGTTGTATGTACAAATTAAAGTAAAAAATTAAAAAAATAGAAAAATAATAAAAAGTAATTAAAAACGGAATACATGAATGATACATGAATGTCACGAAGAATTTGCCCAAAAAACGTTCTGTAAATGAAAAATTTTTCTACAAAAAATCCGTTTTAAGGGAGCAGGAAAGAAGGGAACATGAGGCATCACAATGTAGCTAACTACGAAGTGTCAAACGAAATTTAAACATTTTCAGCATAAGTGTTTCTTACATACACACACACACACACACGCACGCACACACACACACACACACACACACACGCACACAAACAAACACACACACATATATAAATATATATTTTACAAATTATAAATACTCAAACAAAATGACAATATTTTTGATAACAAGTACGATTGATGGTATAGTTTAACTTTTGTTTTTAATTTTAAAAACGATGAAAATTACTAATACTAAAATTACTAATACCAACGCCACTTATTATGATTTTATTAGTAGTAATTTCTTCTAGTAAAAAATAGTATTACTTCTCCTACTGCTACTATTAACTCTAGTATTATTATTACCGCTGCCAGCATTAACGTTAAAACTCGATCTACTGATACAATTACTGCCAAAGTTACGATCGTGGTCGTGAATGTTTCTTTCAGGTGTAGCAGTAGTAGTATTAATTACTAAGTTTGACATGGCTCTCTGCACTCCGAATATGTTAAAGGATGAGTCGGTGTGCTTATGGTTGTAGGCGGTTGTTTGTAGTTCAATGGTACTGCTGTTGTTGTTGTTGCTGCAGCTGCTACTACTGTTTGCTGGGCTGCTGTGTGTGTGTGTGTGTGTGTGTGTGAGTGTGTTTGTGAAGTTTTTTTTGTGTGTGATGCGGTTTAGCTAATAATCGTGACATGGTTTGAAAAAATGTTAATAAAACGTAATAAAAAAAAGTAATCGTTGAACTTTAAGAAAATAAAACAAAACCCAAGACCTCTTATTGGTGAATGTATGTTCAACACGACCGGTCGAAGTCAATGATGATGGTGGAACTTGAGGGGAACGTTCCTGGTAATGATGATTTTGCTGCTGTTGTGGCGACTGTTGTGGCGACTGTTGTTGCTGCAGCTGTTGACGATGTTGACCATAACTAGATACAGGCGCGCTCTTATGATGATGAAGTTTCTGTTGGTGTTTAAGATGATGATGGTGGTACGAGTGAATATCGTTATCTTCGTCATCATCAAGGTTGTCATCATAGTTCCATTGTCTTCTGTTTACAGGAACTGTGTATGCAATTATAACATGATTATTCACAGATATTTAATTATAATTTAATTAAATCATATAATTGTAAATTGATTAAAATGAAATACTGATTTTGAAATCTTTACTGATTTTGATATATTCATCATTATACTTTAATATAAAAAAAATCGTTAATGCAGTTAAAATCAATGGTGTAATTTGAGGGAACTGTTCCTGGTAATGAGTTGCTGCTGTTGTGGCGGCTGTTGCCGCTGCAGCTGTTGGTGTCGACGATGATACAGATACAGACTAGATACAGTCAATCCTGACAATCATCAATATTTTTAAAAAAATTACAAATTTCAACATACTTTCTCTTCCATCGAAAAAGTTATCGAAGATCACGAATTTATTCATCTGCGGGATGATCCTACTTAGCGAGTAGTGCTTGCCCAGGAAGGCAAGAAATTTCTCTGACGGTCTATTTATAGCAAGGTCACAAGGTCGGATGTTTTCACTCTAGTGATTTCATAATTTCAAGCAAATTATTTTTATATTTTTATTTATAATTAACACATATATCAGTTACATAATATCATGGATTTATTAACTAAATACACATTTGTACGAACCAGCATATGTATATTTAACCATTTAAATGGATTGAACCAAATTGAGAATGGAAAAATGTTAATCATCATTATTCATTATACAAACATGCAAGTGCATCATTAACTAAAAATAATTCACTACTATATATAAAGATACAATTACAAAACAATATTAAACTTCAAGAAATACTGTTGAAAAAACAAGAAAAAATATCACAATCAACTCAAGTAAACTAATTCCCAAATCCCATATTTCCTGACTGGATCACTAACCAAATCCCTAACACTAGCCTGGATCATGAAGTCAAAAAGTTCCTTCCCACATCCTTTCCTTTGCATGGATTCATGAACGTAAAAGTCCAAGACGCAGATGGGCTCCAGTTCATGTTGGTTGTGGGCAGTGTCGAATAGAAACAATTTCTTCGTGCCTACTTTTATGTAACCTATCACTCTATCGTTTGTTGGATGGTTGGATGAATGGATAGATAGATAGATAGATGGTTGGATGGATAGATAGACGGTTGGATGGATGGTTGGTTGGATAAGTAGTTGGATAGATAAGAAAAATGAAAATAAGATTGTTTTGAAGAAAAAAGATAAAAAATAGCAGATGATAAATATGTCAAAAAAATTCCTTTCACCTGTTTTTACCTCTATCCACTTTTAAATAAATTCTGTTGTCTGTGTTCAAAAGCTTCTCTTTTGATGTTATTTCACATGTTAACCTTTGAGCCTAAGTAGTTGTTTGAAGATTTGGAATAACATTATATGCAAACAAACCAAATTAAATTTCACTTTCAACAATTTAAAACGTTTTATAAAATTCTACATAAGAAAATTAGTAAAAATGTTTGATAGCTATATTTCAATCTATATAAATAAATTTGTTAACTACTATTTATTTAGTAAAAAAAATTTAATGGGTTGACTGGTTTTCTCAATGATTAAAGTATCTTGACATTGTGCTGCAGTGACCTGGTTCAAAAATGAAGAGTCCCTGTCATCTCAGTTATGAATATAAATGAGATATTAAATAACTACAATCCTCTAATCTAATATATAGCTAGCATATAGTTTGTAATTGCTCTTGGGGGGATATTTGACAATGACTAAAGAGTTAAATGACAAAGAAATAAATAAAAATAACCTCAATTTTTAGAATATAAAAAAATATGAAAAACGAAATTGTAATCTGATTTGTTCATTACAAAAAAAATTGTTAACCTCGGCTGAAGCTTTCCCCAGTTCATCAATGATGATGCCCACATAGTCTTTGTATTTACTTCATTTGAAAAAAAGACAAATTTAATTTTTATGAAATTTTAACAAATTATGAGGTGCTGCAACTTTTTCTGACAATGCTTTTCCTCTAGACTAGACTAGAGCTAGCTAGAGCCCATGCTGTAATTAAATTAGTTACAAATAAATAATTAAACTAACCAATTACTTAATAACTAACTAATTACTTATTAACTTAGCTAGCTAGTTACAAATTGAATAAATTTGAATTAGTATTAGTTATTATTGAAAAGATTGTTAGTGTGTATTGAAGAAATTAACAATCCCTTGTAAAAGAATGAAACCAGTCAACAGCTTCAATTATCTAAGAAGTATGATTACCTCAGGTTGTAAAGGTGATGTAGATATTAAGCCATAGATGCATATTCTAAAATAAAAACATTTGCAAATTTTCTCACCTTTGCTTCGAGCTGACAACTTGCACACCCCTTGGAATCAAGTGACAGTCAATGATTGAGATGTCATCACGAAATAATTCATTCACTTTAAAAGGAAACTCCATGTAAATGATTAACGTTTATTTAATAAAATTATTGCATAATAATTAATAGGTTAGATTATTTATTTTAAATTAGAATATTCATTTTAAAAACATTTTACAGTTAAAAGTCACAAAATTTTTCACAAAATGTTGCTCTGCTTGCATTTGCAATGTTTACCTTAGCATTACGATTAAAAGTAAAAGCAGGGATGGGCTAATGGTTATACAATTTTATAAAAAACCGAGCGAACAAGCTTTATAAATTATAACAAGAATAACTGTGAATCTAACACTTTCACTCTCACATAGATGAACAATTTCATTTCCAATTAATTTCATGTGTTTTTTTCAAATTTCAAAAATTTTAATTTATTAATTAATTAGCTAAAAGATTTACAGATAAAAAAAAGTTATAAATTCATAACAGTACGGTGCTTAGACACCTTTGAATAGCACAAAATCCACCGAACAATCTCAAAAAAGAACCAACCAGTAGAGATTGGAAGTTTTTGTCACAAACTTGATCTATTTAGATCACTAAGAGCTTTTGTTACGTGATGATATGTTGTGTGGCGTCGTGTGGCGTCGTGTGGCGTCGTGTGACGTCGTCGTGTTATTTAAAAATTTTAATCACGAGACTTCCGACATGCCGAAGATAATGTCAGGCGCAGGTCTGTAAGTGCTAGATAGAAAATGTTCAAGCGTGAAATACTAAATATTATACGTCACTGGAATGATCGCTCGCCTCATCAGACGCGAATTTTCTCAAGAGATGGATGGAGAGATAGGAGAGAATGGAGAGGAAGGAAGATGAGGATAGAGATAAAAATAAATAAAAACAAAATGAGAGAAAAAGAGAGAGTGAGTGAGTGAGAGAGATAGACTGAGTTAGAGAAAGAAAGAGAGTGAGTGAGTGAGTGAGAGAGAGAAAGGGTGAAATGAAAGTAAAAAAGGAAAAGAAGGAAAAAAAAGAATTATAGAAAGAGAAAGAAAAAGAGAAAAAAAAATAAAGTAAAGAGAGAAAAAAAGAGAGAAAGAGAAAAAGAGAAAAGGAGGGGAAAAGAAGAGAAGTTAGAAATGTGGTAAAAATGACGTCACGTTTCTCAGGGCGAATAGTCGTTCATAATTTCATGTTCTATTAATTTATTATTTTATTTCATTGGCTCTGCATTGATTCGTTGTGTGTGTGAGTGTGTGTGGGTGCGCGCGCGCGTGTGTCTCCATCACGTAGGTTGTTTGTTTGAGCGAGTGATGATGATAAGAATCTTCATGCCTCCATTCACTTCCATTTCGTAACAGCACCCTCATGACGATGATGATGACGATGAAGAAGATAATGACGATGAAGGTGAAGATGATGAGGATGATGATGAGGAGGTTGGAGAAGAAGATGATGATGATGAAGATGGAGATGAAGATTTCAGTGGAGATGTCAATGCAGCTAGAATGATGGATTGATGGTGAAAAAAACTAATAAAGGAATAAATGAGCAAACAAAATGGATGAGCCTTTGTTACGCAACAAAAACCAAAAAACGCAGCAAAAAAAGAAAAAAAAACGAAATAAAAAGAATAAAAGATGTGAATGACCAGTTTGTATTGGGACGCCTGTTTGCATCCAATTAATTTGCCTCCTACACTGTCCCACGTGTACACTACACACTATCATCATCATCATCGTCATCATCATAGTCGTCGTCGTCATCATCATCTTCATCGTCGTCGTCATCATCATCGTCGTCGTTGTCCTCGTCATCTTCCTCATCATCCTCATCATCATCATCATCGTTATTTCCCTCTTTGTCATCATCATTGTCATCTTCGCCATCTCGTTATTATATTTATTACCTTTAAAATCTGTTCTTATTTCTTGCCATTGCGTGCATCTAAAGTTAGTAAGCGTTAGAACGTTATTGTTGTCATCATTATATCTTGAATGTCAATGTCATCATCATCATCATCATCATCATCATCGTCATCATCATCATCATCATCATTATCGTCATCATCAGCCTCGGCGGCATCATTGTCATATGCGACGTTATTTGACGCGCGCGCGTGTGCGTTTTTGGCGGGAAAATGGCAAGTCACGTGACTCGCGAGACTAACAAGAGATGGAAAGTTTGTTGGTCGGTTTGTTGGTTGGTTGGTTGGTTGGCTGGATGGTTGGTTGGTTGGATAGTTGGTTGGTTGGATGGTTGGCTGGTTGGTTGGCTGGTTGGTTGGACGGTTGGTTGGATGGTTGGTTAATTGGTTGGTTAGTTTAGTTTACTTAGTTGGTTGGTTGGATGGATGGTTGGTTGGATGGATGGTTGGTTGGTTGGTTGGTTGGTTGGTTGGTTGGTTGGTTGGTTGGGTGGTTTGTTGGATGGTTGGTTGGTTGATTGGTTGGTTAGTTTAGTTTACTTAAATCATTGTAATACTAAACAAAAGTGTTGGTAACACAAAAACAGTCGCAATTTATATTTCGCAAATTATGAGATTAATTAAATAAAATATATGTGAATTTTTTTTTAAATAAGCAAATTAAAAAAAAAACTAAACTAAAAACGCAGCCTCGCGTGAACGTCACCTCACGTAAGCAAATATAATTGGTCTAATCATCGGAACATAATCAAACATGGCGGATGATGACGTCATTGTTTTGTTTTTGTTATGAATACCGTTGATGATGATGTGGATGATGACGATGATGATGTGATAATGATGATGAGGATGATTATGATGTGATAATGATGATAATAATGATGATGATGATGATATGATGATAATGATGTGATAATGATGATGATGGTGATGTGATAACGATGATGA